ATTTTATATAATATCTTGGCCGATAATACGCACTAATGCCTATACGTGGCTGCGTCATTTATAACCTCCGATTAATAAGCCGCCCCGTCGTGTTTACGGTGTACGGGCGCCGTTTTGGGAGCGTCGAGCTTAAAGATTACGTTTTTATTGCGATAATAAAGTGCGAGGAGATCAGACCGGATTGGAGTAGAAAAGTATATTTACGGACCCAGGCTTAAAACAGTCGACCTTGACGGTGCGGGCGGTGCGAACCTTCTCATTTGCCAGAAAATTGTTTAGGTATATTTATTTATTTTAGGTATATTTTATATTTACTTAAAAATGCCAACCGCATATTATACCATTTAATAAGTACACTTTATAGACGGCGACTTTAAATACAATATTGTTATAATAATTATCCTATAGCGAGCACTCAGTTTTTACTATTTTTGAGTCGCATTTGGATAAAAAAATTATATAATATCAAATACTATACACGATGATACAGGACACTCTGTACAAAAATAGTGACGAACAAATTGATATCATTGCCCCCGAGATTGTATATAATTTGCCTATATTTTGCTATATTCTTCGTGTAAATCGTAAGGAGTAAAATAGGCAACTACTATAACATCTCAGGGGGGGCTATCAATATTGTAATACCCTAAAATGATTAAATCTTTATCTGCTTTACACCCAGGACCCTGCAAGGGGAGAGGGGCTGTTGGACCTGGAGTACATAGACCCGTTGAAATGTATTTATTTGTATTTTTTTTAATTTCGACAGGAAAACTTATTTTACAGTAATTTGATTATTTTAAGCTGTGGGTTAACGATTTATCACCTAGAAATAGTCTATGGGACACCCATATCTTTTTTTAATGGGTCATATTTTTTTTTGTAAGTCTTGTATAGGGCCTGGAAAAATAATTAGTTATCAAAATTTGATGTGGGGAGCCTGATTGCACCCATATACATTATATTTATATAATATACTTACGTTTAAACTACAATACATTATTAGAAATCGCAATGTAGACTGTAGGAACACATTTAAAAAAACACGAGTACAATAATATCAGCCTCTGGAGGTAATAATCAGAAGCTTTACATCTATAATACACAACACTTGATACTACGCATTTATGCCCCTTGCTAATTTGTGAAAGACTAACTTTTTAATTTTAATTTTTACAGTAATATTAATATTTCCTTTTATATTTTAATTCAAATTGTATTATAATTATTATAATTTAAACATGGAAAAAACGACGCCCAACTGAAATCGTGGCGTGAGTGCAATATCCATCCTCAAATATGTTCTACCCACTGTTAATATGACACCAGTCTCGCCGATGCACTGCGCGGAGCTGCGCGTGTTTCTGCCTTGACCCCCGGGTCCAGCCAACCAATCAAGATCCCGATACTATTTCTGACTTCCAGTCCTCTGGCCGGTGTGGCGCCCACCGCCTCGCCATCCAGCTCCTTTTTCGCGGCTTCCTGCACCGGAGGCTCGACCACTTCAACGATCGGTTCAACCGGTTCTGCCGTTTTGTCAGATTTGTCGACCGGTTGAAAGACGTTGCAGGACGGGACGTAGTCGTCCCCCGCGAAGCGCGTCGCATACGATAAAAGTCCTTCCAAGTCTCCGATGGTAGGTTCTTGGTCGATGTCGTCTATTCGTTTAAGTTCTTCTTCCATAATCTCGTACTCGACGTTGCTTATTATTTTTCCCAAGATTTGCATGATAGTTGTTTCCATTTCCTTTTCTTCGTTATGCGATGATGCAGCCATTTTTTCGTTCAGGTTTTTTTTTTTCCGCGTAAGGTTAGGTCAGATTATATACTCAGATGAGTTGCAAATGTGCGGATTTCGGTATTTATTCCTGGGCCGTCGACGATGATTTTAAACAAACATCGTTTATTAGTAGCCAGCACATTATTATATTAATCGACGGCCGGCATCAGCTGGATTTCGAGCCCGTTAATTTTTCCAAATGCCATTATTACGACTATTATTGGTATACAGACTCTAACTGTATATACTTACGCGGAGGTACACTATAATAATTGTATTATAATATTTTAACGAGGATTTAAATGTCGATCTGCATTATATTACTATACTGTCGTATAATATATTATATACTCGTTTTAAACTTTTGTAGGTACCGACAAGATTTAGATTCAGAACGGAACGCGACCAATGCGTATTGCGATTTTACAATTATTGTTTTTTGTGTATGTGTTGGGGACGTTGGGGTGTACCTATATTGCGTTTTATAGTAGAAAAAATGCTTTGATCTACAACGTTGGGGATGATTTCAGATCAAGTTGCATCTAGTTATGGTACTGGGTATTTTAAAGGGCGAAATCGCAGAAAATTAAAAGTTCTTTACTTAATAATAATACTAGGAAAAACGACAAAAAAATGAGGGAACATTTTTTACGAGCATCTTCCATATTATATATTGCATAATTTTCAAATGGCTATTTTAGAAGTTTTTAATTTTCTATTTTAGGTTCTGACGATCTCTAAACTTAATTATTCTAATCACTATACTGTTTTTTAAATAAAAATGTGTTTGTAATTATTTTGTAATTACGAGTAGGTATTTAAAGTTATTATTTGACTCAAGATTAAAGAAAAGTTATTGGAATGAATCACCTTAATAGTATTAAATAAAATATTATTCAAACTGACTATTGACAATTAAGCATTAAATTTTTTAATACCTATACGGCTATACCTACTCTAATATTGTTTTATATAATATATTATTAATAGTTTCTCATTTAATTATATTATATTAATCACATATTTGTAAAAAAAAATAACATCTAAAATATTGGTATAGTTTCATTTCAGCTTGATTTTTGTTAATATTTATGGATTTTTAAAAAAAATATTTAAAACAAAACTTTCCTCTTCTGTGAGTGAATGTCACAGTTTTGCTATGTTAACTCAATCTAAAATCATTACAGTTTATTGAGGCTCGTCATCCACTCTTTACTTCGCATATATAGTTCTCCACTTCTTATTGGCTGTCAATCGTATATATGCATATATAACATAAAACAAAATCAACTGATCTCAAGTGGAGAACAATGACATTAGCCGGAAGTGAAGGAGATGAGCATACTGTCCAAAACTAGTACTACTGTGATGATACCTATCTAATTATATGGCATCGGAAAGACCAGGAGTCATTATTGTAGATAAAAAGATTAAAATACCATGTAATTATTATTATTATTATTATTATTATTATTATTATTATTATTATTATTATTATTATTATTATTATTATTATTATTATTATTATTATTATTATTATTATTATTATTATTATACCTTCAATCTTTTGTCAAAACGTTTATATCCAAAAACCTGATTACCTACATGATAATCAGATAGCACTAGGACTATGCCTAGTTGTACCTACACTTACTCATACCTATAAGATAAAAATATCAAATTAAAGTATTAAACACAACTTTATTAAAACTATAGGTATTCTGACACAGATTTTACTAACAGAGATCGACAGATCGTGCAGAGTATAAAAATTATTCTAAAGAATGAATAATATTGAACACAATTTAATTGACTTACAAAATATTAGGTACAATGTACATATTATTATGATTTTGATTTAGCTCTAAATAAAAATATTATTGTCATACAAGTATAATGTATATGGTATTAATAAATAAACATAATTTAAAAAAATAAATAATTAGATCAAATAAAAGTACAATACATATTTTATATGAAAAAAAAAACTAAATTTGTTTGAACATAATATAATAGTAAATAGTGCAATTTTGTGATAGAAAAAATATGTAGCAATGCAATGCATGTTTTAAAAAAAAAATATAAAACAAATTGAGTTGATACATCACTCATTAACTTTATATTCCACTGATATAATAAACACACAATATAAAGTAACAAAGCTCATAACTTTGGTTAAATTAGATCTGTTAAATAAAATATTGATGTTTAATACAAACGATTTGTGTACTAAAATTGATCCTACATTTTCAACTTCAATAATAATTTGAACTTTTATAATTTTGTTCTTTTGAAAAATATTCAGGAAACATTACATTCCACATCACACCTGAGCCTGTCAACAATACAAAATCATCTGTAACCGACAAAGTATATTAAGAAGAGCGAACCCATTTAATATAGCGAACCCGGTTTCTGAATATATATTCCTAAGATGATACGTGTTAATCTACTTCAGTGATGAAATGTGCAAACAAATTGTAGATATTGAAAAAGAAAATATTTAATGCATCCAATGTGTTAGGTACCTATAGGGTTAAATATAAATTTTATTAAAATATTGATGCTATAAATCAATCTCTATTATTACTATGTCATAGCTTTAAAGTTTAAACATAGTTTTTGTAACAATCCACAAGATTATGAAGGTTCACTTGAACAACCAACTAGGTATTATATTTTGTTTGTGATTATTGAAATTATAGTTAAGCGTCATTATGAGTAAAAGCATGGGATAGCGATTAGCGAGCACCTTAAATACAATTTTTAATTCAATGGATAAAATAATAAAATTGGTATGGAAGTAACTGCAAACCACTAGCTACCCCGCAATGACGCCTATGGTTTAGCTGCTGGACAATAGCATCAATAAATAGAAAAAAAAAATTATTTTGTAATAGTATTTAAGATTTTCCTTTAGAATGTTATACCGTTGTTCGGTAGTATAGAAATTTTCAACATTTTGATTTCAGTATCTAATTGGTTGCATCTTGTATTCTTGTGTGACCACTACTTACACCTTACACGGAAATTTCATATTTTTGGCTCACGAAAATCGAATATTTTTTGGTTTTTATGTAGGTAGTAGGTACCTACCTACACCATATTCAAATAGCCTGCAGGGTTGCCATTGGAAATAAAAGATACTTTTATACAATCAATAATATTATATTATAATATCTAAAAATGAGTGGACATTTTCCGCCCTACGTCTCGCGTTATAAGTATAACACCGTAACGGTGGTGGCGACGACGACGACAAAACGATGCGCGGGCGGCCACGCTTTCGTAGCGGCGGCCGTCGCCTGAACGGTTGGCGTCTGCGCCTCCCTTGCCATTTCGTGCCGGTACACGGTCTGGCCGATTCGTTGGAGGTACAGGTTGGCGGTATCGTATACCAGCCGGCGGGCGGCGGGCAACACGTCCGGGTGGTTCGTGAACTCCCGACACGAATCGGCCAACTTCCGGCGCAGAGCGTCGTAGTAACCATAGTCGTACGGGCCCGCGTCGTTGACACACCTGCCAAAGTGCATCAGACCCCGCATGTAATTGTCCGGCCGGATGCGTACCGTCTGATCGGTACAAGACGACGGCGTGTGTTTGTGAGGGTTAGCCGTGGAGGCGGCTGCAGCAGACGTAGTCCAACATAACAGCACCAAAATCGTCACTTCCGCCGTCGACGAGTCAAGCGGCATCGTAATAATATTATTTCAGTTATTATCTTATTTTGACGACGAAATCTTTTTGGGAGGACTTTTGCAGCTCGGGGCCGATGCCACTCGCAAAATCACGACACCAAACCTTCTTCGCCTAAGACCGTGCCCACGACAAGATCGTTTCGGTGGACTCGTGTTCGATATTATCTGCACTCACAAATTAATCCCTGGAAAAATGACACCGAGGAGAAGAATAACAAACTAAAAAACCAAAGAAAAAAAGAACAACAGAAATAACGACCAAAGAAACAAAATAATAAGCCTAACAATATATTATAGTAAAATATGTTTGGGTTAGGTTTAAACATGTTCAGTTGTCATGGAAGAGTCAGTTTTCCAATTCTTAGATTCCAATACTTGTTCTATTTTTTGTAGAACAAAGCTAAATAGTTTTTACCCTACTTAGTGATGATCAAAATTGGTCTTGGTCTTGCGGTCTCGCAAGACTCTTGCTGCAAGACCAAGACCAAGACCAAGACCAAGACGGTACTGGTCTAGCAAGACCAAGACCAAGATTAGGCTTGCAAGAACAAGACCAAACCAATACCGAAGCTGCAAGACCAAGACCAAAACAAGACCATCACTGCAAGACTCTTGCAGCAGTCTTGCAATTTTTTTTCCCCCAAAAACACATTAGTGTACCTATCTAGATTCCATTAACTAATAATTTATAACGAAAATAATAAGAATTTATTTGTATTGTTATGAAATTTTATCAGTACCTATATTCGAGGAAATGGCGAATTATTGAAAAAAGATTAAAAATATAATGAGAATTAATATTACAAAATAACATAGTTGTTTCATATACTAATTAACAATTACTGAAAAATTATTTTACTTTCCCAAAATCGATAAAAACGTCGAAAGTTGTCTTGCTAATAGAATAATGTATGTCCATAACACACCTTTACTTTGAATCGAATATACTAATAATTGCTGAAAGTCATTACGGTCTACGGTAGGTATCATTTTAATAGGAAGTACGTTTTTATTTTCATTCGTATTCATGATTCAGTTGTTTATTTTTTTTTCCTTTAATAAGATTTTAAAACTAAATAATAGAACAAAACTTATATTTAAAAGATGTTGTCTACCAAAAATATTGAATACTGAAAATTAATAGGTTGTATGTCACAAAAAATTATAAACATTTTAATTAAACAACATTATTAATATTATAACTTACCTCATTTAGTAAGTAGTAACACATTTTAATTATTGTGGGTTGTACATAATAGTTTTATGTATTGATGTAGCCATGTAGGTATGCACTTTACACTTTACAGTTATCTTAAATACAATGTTACTACTTAACTTAGTTGACATTAAGATAATTAAAAACTTTTTCTAAAAAGAAAATGTAGGTACCTAATAAGATTTACAGAAATGGTTTATTGTCAATATATTATATTAAAAGAAACTTAAACATTTAGTACTACTGTACTGGACACTGGTGAATAAAAGAAGAATAAAAGTTTAATTATAAATAATAAATATTATCATTATAACAGTTAATTAGTTAATATAATTATTAAGAAATTTAATATTTGGAACAAACCATACAGTTTTTTTAAATATTATTATTAGTTAAAGTGAACATTAAATTAATAACAATTTAATTTTTATAAACATTATATTGGTCAATAACTAGTAATTAGCAATTAGTAATAACCTATTAATATTTATTATAAATGCAATAGGAACTTAGAAAGTTAATTATGCTTTTAAATTGATTCATACAAGTAAAATAATATAAGCATAATTTAAAATGCAAAGTTTTAAACGAGTACCTACCTATAATAAAAATTAAATTCTTTGACTTGTTTTATGTTAATGTTTGATTTATGAATATACTATGTAATATATTGGACTAAATTTCATCTTAGTGATCATAGCAAAAAACCTACACACAGCTATAACAGGTATTTAGTTTTTTTTTTTATATATTTTGTGAAAATAGCAAGAGTCTTGCAAGAGTCTTGCGCAAGACCAAGACCAAGACCAAGACTGAGTCTGCAAGACCAAGACCAAGACCAATATTAAGGTGTATACCCAAGACCAAGACTGAGTCTGCAAGACCAAGACCAAGATTTTGAAAGTCTTGGTCTTGGTCTTGTTTTGATCATCACTGTCCCTACTTTACAATATATGACATATGTGTATCCACTACCCATAATATAGCAAAGATGGGCAAGTTAGTACAACAGTTTGTAACAGATAACATATTTTTATTTAATTTACTAATATATTATAGGGAGTCAATAAAAATAGGCAAATGTCAATATCGAGTCATTTTAGGCTATAAAGTAACGGAGAGATATTATAATATTATAGTTGTATTAACTATCAAGTAACAGATTTATTTATGCGTAAAATATTTAAACACTTTCTCATTTAGTTACGAAATGAAAGAGATACTGTGTGCAATGGATACACCGCAGAGACGACAGCAATATTATACTCCACAGCACGACTTGTACTATGTTATTACTAAATTTTAATTATTGACCTCCCGGTGCAATTGCACCAACTAGATTCGCTTTCTTATTAAACAAGATACTGTTAAAAAAATCGAAGCAGTTTTACTGCCCTAAAAGGTGATGACAAACAAAAAAATAAATAAAAAAATAAAAAAACACACATCATTGTAAAATCAGAATCTAAAAAAAAAATACAACTTTTTATCAATGCCATAGGAAAATAAAGTTCCGTAATAATAGATTTATGTGTTTTTATATTTTTAATTAATATTTGGGTACCCATAAGACAGACCGCAATTAAGAAGACATTTTTAGCAAGGAACGCAGTAAGTACTGAGTAGCCACCTGAAAAGTTGAGGTGTCTTAAGATTTGTAATTAAATTTATGATAAGATTCATTTAGGTACTTAAGATTTGATAAGTTAATGGGGTATTATTTATGGTATTGTCACCAATCACCTAAATTCCCTGGCACCTTATAATTATGTCTATGTTATTGGAAATAGGAGAATATGGTGCAACTTAATAATTAGGTGTCAATTCCTAAATGCGTAATTGGTTTTCAGCTCTGAATTATTAACTTAAATTCAAAGATAAGAAACTAAGAACCAAGGTGGACGTATCTTATTTCTTTGGTGTTCCAAGTTTCTGACTTTTAGGTTTGACAACAGAAAATTATACAAAATCAATGAATTCAAAATGTGATATGCTTTACGTTTGTAACAGTTACGGACAACACGTCATGCGACCATGTGGAAGTGACATCCTCTGAACTAATTTAAGGTAAGAATATTATGTGTTCTCTACTCCTCTAGTTGGTTTTTAACGATACTCTAATTTTTAGGTGTGTTGAGTGCTTATAAATATTAATAGGTACTTTACTAGGTATTAAGTACTCATAACTCGCTTAAAAATTAAAATACCGTTAAAAATTAAAATCCATTGAGAATAGATAATATTTTTACCTTTTGATAATTTAAAATTCACTCTAATATTTAAAATGACAACACAAAATTGAAACTGCTAAATCGGCCTGAATTTAAATTTTGGTATGTTATGCGTAAAACAGAGACAACACATGCAGATACATCAACTTAAGGTAGATAAGTTTTAATAAACAGTTTTCATCTATATTTATAAAAAGACTCAAAAACTACTGGACAGTGGACAGTTTTCAATATAAGATATATCAATATAATCCTTAGAGACTTAGAGGGTGTTGAATGTTTAAAGCTTATTTTTTTAACAACTATTGGTTGCTATAGTGTGGATTCCTTAACCCAAGAACTTAGTATTTGGCTCATGAAAAAAAAATATTGTTTTTTTTATTTATAGTTGCCATTGTTTATAGATAATGATGATAATAATAATTTTGGCATGGGCAATTCCGAGCAGGGTAGTAACATAAATACAATTCTTGTCAAAAATAATATATTTTTACTACAATTGGTTGTATGACAATTTTTATCATAATCACAAGCTAAACTTAGGTTTTATTCCTTACATATAAGACATAAAAGAAAACATTATGATATACATACAATGCATAACAAAATTGTTTTAACCTAACCTTAAATATTATTAATATCTAGTCTTTGACAATTTTAAATTAACCATAAATGACACAATGATAATACTATTAAGTTGATATATTATACTAACTTAATTAATTAATGTAAATATTAAATTAAAAACTGTTATATTATTCAATGTGTATTATAGAAGTCGAGTAATTAGGAATTATTAATATTTTTAAAGTTTTTTTTTTTACAAGAATATAAAATAATGATTAGTTTTTGATTTGTCTTGCTTTTGTTATCCAGGCATTTTTTAAAAGTAATGATAGAACAAAGGTATATGAGAGAAAAATCAAATTAATGAAATAAAAAACTTAAAATGTAAATATATTATACTAAAATTTGTTTTAGAAGTCGATACATTCTTATAAATTAATTAAGTGTAACATTAAAAATGCCATTATAAAAAATATTGAGAAATATGTTTAAAAAAAAAGAATACATTTAATAATTTTAAATTACAAACATTTAGACTAAAGGATAACTGGCACTGGATGCAACACCACAGTTGTTTTTCTTGTTACGTGCCATCATTATATACCCTTCGTCTCCCCAAGTCTTACCCCAAGAATTTTTAACAATCCAGTAGTCACCTCCTTTCTTGTCAGTGCCGAAACCAACAGCAAGCACACCATGGTCCAATTCTGTGGAACTACAACGGGGATTGTAAAACACACCCTTTTTATAGAACTGGAATTTCTCTGATGAAGCATCAATAGCAATAGACACTGGTCCTACAGTAGCCAAAGCATGCATGAGGGCGTCTTCATCACCTTCAGGTATATCAACAAAACCTTTGTCAGTGGCACCAGAGTTCTCGGGTTTATAATGGCACTTGTCATCCTAAATTTAATTTTAAATAAGTATTGTTGATAAATTATTAAGTAAACTCATAATTATCTTACAATGGCTTCATATGGGTAAGATTTTTCAGTATCAAGTCCCTTGTTAGATTTGATGTACTTGAAAGCAAGATCCATAAGACCACCTTCACAACCATTGTTACCGTATTTACGAGAGCAATCAATTAAATTTTGCTCACTCAAAGATACTAGCACACCAGTTTTGCGGAAATGTTGTCCTTCCAACGATCCAGTCTGTAATTACATAAAATTATAATAACATATTAATTACTAAAAAAACTATTGTATAATGAATAGAGATAAAACGTAAAAATATATATTGTTCAAGTATTTATATAACTATATAAGTGTACTGTACTTTAGACTCAATAAAACAATACCATACAAAAAATACTCATGTCAATCACCACCATACTAACATATTATTAACATTTTTTAAAATATTTCAGTTCCATCAATCATCAACTCTAAGTAATAATTTCGATTTTCATTAGTTTTTTTTTAAATTATTGTCGATAAAAATATTTTTGCTTGGTCAAAATACTTGAAAATGTAATACAAGGTACCTTATAAGTTATTAATGAAAATTTAAAAGGGTTATCTAAAGTAATTTTTTATGAGTTCTGAAGTTAGACAAAATTATGAAAATTTGCAAATTATTTTGTTTTATTTATAAAATGTCTACTTTTTATAGCTAAGGATTGAAAATTTAAAACAAGGTATCTTATATTTCATAAGTAATTCATACGGCCACAAAAAAAATATATAAACCATTTTTTTTTATTGCTATTTTCAGTTCAAATTTGGATGAAATTATTTATTTAAGCAAAGATTCATTATTTAGTGGCAATTTAAAAATATTATTATTATATAATGACTGATGGAAAAACTTCATTCAGAATCCTTTTTCCTATACAATGATGTTATATCATTGAATTCAATTCAAATTTAACACTATTCATTTCAATGACCCATTTGTAATCTACTGTACTGCAGATACAGTACCTCACTTTTTTAATTTTAGACTGAGTAATAATTTATTTTTTTATGTACTGTATTGTAATGTTCCATAATATTTAATGAGCATTCATTTTTTAATAAAAAAATTACTTATTAATATTTTAAATAAGTAAATTTTCAGATTTATAACAGTTTTAACATTTTAAAGACCAATAAATTACAATTATATTATAGAAATAGTTTTATGAATGTAATGCTACCCAGTTATTAATAATTAATGTAATATCTATAGTTTATAAATAATAAGTTAGTTTATTAGATAGTAAATACCTATTATCAAACAGATGTGGCAACTCTATAAAATAATTTGACCTTAGACGTGTATACAAATAAATCACATAAATAAAAAGGACAAAGTGTTTAACAGTGTTAACTCATAATGAAAGAATGTAATTAATAAAGAATGTAACAAAAGAAAACAATAAAATTGTATTCATTAAAATAATCCAAACTTGATTAACATTGAAATATTGCATAATAATAATCTGATATCATTACTTTTTAATATTTATTATTACTGTTTACAAAATGTGTTCTTTCAAATTTTTTTTTATTTTAGCATTATTGACATTTTGTTAAATAAAACAATAATTAGGATAATGTTATAGGTACTGCATGAGTCAAAGAATCAATATTTAATCACAGTTAAAAAATGAAAATTAGATAAATATAATATAATTGTTTAGAAAATGACTAAATAAAATAGTGTTAAAAATATAAAGATTGATACTTAACAGTTACTAAGTTTATACGATGGCGTTAAAACGGTTTAAACCTAAACCGTTTTGAAAGTTAAAATGCTCGCGCTATGTAGTTTAAGAACTTAAAACTGTTTTATTTGCATAAACCGGTTTATCAAATGTACATATACAAGTTTAAGCAAATAAAACGGTTTTAAGTTCTTAAACTACATAGCGCGAGCGTTTTAACTTTCAAAACGGTTTAGTTTTAAACCGTTTTAACGCCATCATATAAACGTAGTAATTGATTTTAAAAAGTTATGAATTTAGACTAATAATAAAAACTTGTAGACCAACAAATATAATAATTAATTTGAATTTCATAAACAAATTTCATAAATACTTAACTTCCTAATTTTAATAATAATTTTATTAACATTAACCACTATAAATTATTGTCTTTAGCTGAGCTTATATTTATATCCACAACAATTTTTTTTTTTATATTATTTAAGTTCTAATTTCCATAATTATATTATCTAGGTGACTACTATACCTTGGGTAACCACCTGTATATTTATGAGGAAATAATATATATTTTACATTTTTATGGTAAGACACCCGACAGCAGAATTTTTATAAGCTTAATACTTATGTATTAATTGTATTTAATATATATATCATGGAAGATGTACATGTCACACTACATGTAGGTATAAAGCTCCATCCAAACCAGAGAAACTTTTGTTGAAGACATGTGTTTTGACAAATTGTTTTTGGTCTGGACAGGGCTTAAAATATTGTTTTGTACACACTACACATGTATTTCAGATAGGCATTAAAAAATACACTAAAAATACACTAAAAATTAGATACTTTTGATATAAACTTACGGCACTGAAAGACCAGCATGATCCACATTGACCTTGGTTTTTGACAGGAGTTACATATCCTTTCTTCCTCCAGTCAACTGATTTTGGAACAACAACATTTTCAGATTTCAAGAATGTCACAGCTTCATCGTTAGTGAAATTGCTATCACCACCAGCCAAACTGGGTTTAAATCCATTCATCATTTTAGTATATTCGTGTTGCATCTAGAATGTTTTAAAATTAAATACATTCATCTTATGGTGTGTAAAATTAATTTTTACTATACTTACTAAATCACCAAAATGATTCATTTCCAACGCATATGTTTCTTCGCCGGATTCGTATAATTTATTGTGTCTTGCAATTTTCAACTTATTATCTAAATACACTTTTTTACGGAATGTTTCTTCTTTAATGTCTTCATATAATTTCTTGAATTGAATCTGGAAATAAAATAATCAAGCAAATAAATATCTCAACTCCTAAAAAATTGTACTATGTAAAGATTATACATACTTTGAATAAACTCCATTCTTCTTCAATAACTTCGTTCAAGTTTATTGAGCTAACTGCGCTGATGGCAAAAGCCACCAATCCCAAAACTATAACTACCTTCATGTTACTATAAAAATAAAAAAGGATTATTAAAAAAAAGAAAAATGTATTGCTATTAATCTTATTTCTATAATCATATTTATAACTAAATTTTGAATAAGCAAATTTGCAATCATAATAATTACATATTTAACAACAAAAACAAATTTAATATTTACTCAATGATTTTAATTTAAGAAAAAGTAATCGAAGCAAGTTTGTAAATAGTAGATAATATGGATAGTAACAATGAAATTCACAATTATTGAACTGAATAATTTTAGGAATTTAAAGGTTATCAAAACTGTTTACAACTTCTATACTGATAACCTTTGATACATCATGTAAAAATATTGTATTGTAATAAAAGATAATTAATATTAATCACGGACCAAGATATAATCTTATATAATTAATATAATATACATCTTAGTCCGTGTTATTGATCAAATCATATGCGTTTTATAATTATTAATCCAAGCATCAAAAATTATAATTGCTGGTATTGATTTACCGGTTTCAAAAAAACATTCATAAAATATCATAGACATTATCTACCTGTTGAACTTAATAGAACACAACAATAATAGGTAAACTGGTTCCAAAAACTAAACAGCATGAAGGATATATTATGATTGAGTACTAAGGGTCAAGCCGGCGGTGTGTAACATACGGTTCAAGTGTTGTTCAGGCAATATGGGTAGGTGGGTATTGATAGAAGAAAAATAGGACATTTTATAGGTAGGTATAACAATATTATGAGGGTAGGTAGGTCACCTAAAATAATTTGAGCAACATCAATTTTTTTTGTGATACATGCTACTGTGTGACGCACAGAATATGGTCTCCCCGAGGGTCTACCTATTGAGTAAAGTTAGTAAGTTAATGAATTAAAAACTATCAAAAAGTATTCCAAAAACTATTTATACCTTTAAAATGACAAAAATGGCATTACTTTTGAATTTGTTTACTAAACCTACACAAGCTTCATAGAAAAAATTTAAATAATACAAATAATTCAGTCAAGTACTTAAGCACATAATGGCTACAAAGCAACCATTATCTTCTTAAGGAAACCTTGATATTTAATATTTTGGCCGAAATGTTCGTATAAAATCAATAGGTAGATGTGACTTATAATTTTGAAATTGCATTAACTTCACTGATGGAAATGACAAAACAATAGATACCTGTTCTATATCCGTTCCAACTCACAATAAAAATAATTTGACAGACTTCTTGGTAAAAAAAAAAAATAAAAATATAATCTGATTAGACAAGAAACCTTAAGTTGCAGAGAATACTTACAGATTCAAACAAATAGGAGAAAAAAATTTTGGGTATCCTACTTGAAAGATCAGTGACATATTTTACAAACTCAGGTTACGATTGCAAGGTTGTTTTATCTACCGGGCTAAGTTGAAGTAGACAAAGTAACAAACAAATTGGGAGGAAATAAAAAATGTACGAAACACCCTCGTTACGTTTCATAGTTAGACTGACGGAGAGGAAAAAAACTTCAAAATCGACTTACGTGTTGTACCGCAGACAATAACGTAAACTATAATATTATATTAGTTTGTGTGTGCAGCACAAAGAATCAGAACCAGTGACGCGCTAACAAAGCGTTTGTGAAGAGAAGGCGATGTACTGATGAAACGTAGTGTACTGAATACTGATCGGGACGTAGACGGTTGACGTGTGATCGACTCGACCAACTGCGCAATATTATGATAATATAATTTATATTTATAATACCCAACAGCAACGACACAAAGAGGCATGAGCGTGCGGAGGGACCGAAGGCCGACTGTTGACGACATGGAGGGGGTGGGCAGGCGGGCGAGACATAATCCGGCTGCGCAGCGGACGTCAACAATTATCGTTGATTGTCGATAAATATACAATAATATTATATTATAGTCTACAGTCTATAATACTATTATGTAAAGTAATGTATTATTCATTACTATAAATGTATAAACATTGATTAATAATCAATGGTATAAAATATTATACATAAATATATTTATAAAATGTATATTATAATATATAATGTTAGATAAGCCATTACTGAATAGTGATTAGTGATTACTCATTAGCAACATTGTACATTTTGTTACAAAATGTTTGTAACAACAGTGCATAAAAAATTCAGAAACGTCAAACGAATAACGATAAGTGGCATGGACTTCACTACTTCAGACTAGCTTGACGATAACAAACAATAGTAATCACAATAATTACTGTTATGCCTAAATTATAGGAATTTATTGAACACTAACTTGTGTGCAATAGCCAAAAATTGTTTTTTTTCGACAATTTCGAAGATAAGAATCCTGCACGTGTGTAATAGCATTTTTAAAAGAAGAAATTTCAATATTCATATTATTATATCTTTTATGTCGATATTTAATTATAATTGTTGTTATTATTATTATTATTGTTTAGTTTGATGTATCTTTAATCGTGGTTTGTATCAACAATCAACAGCTAGCCTTTATATTCCAATGGCAAATAGGAAATACCACAGAATAGAATATTTGAAATAAATGGAATTACTTCATGTACGGTTTACTTCAATAGTTGACGGATTTGTGGGTAGTTATTATACCTATCACAGTAAAATAATCGAAAATGATATTATTTTCGATTCCAACCATTGTAAATCGAAATATTTTGTTGCCCTCTCATCGTCCCATACATCATCAATTACCAATAATTATAATAGGCATTAGGCAATAGCAGTGGCGCACTATTGAAAAAATTCAGTACGGAAAAATTATTTGACCAGCCCTCAAATTTGTTTCGTTCTGGATATATTTAGTGATTTTCTAGAGTATAAATGGTGATTTTTAAGTCTTATAGAACATGTTGCCCTCAAATTAGTAATTACTATAATTAGGTATTAAACAAAATAACTCATATTTTGCACTTAATAAAAACTATAATATTAAATTTAAAAAAATTAATGTGTGAACTATGTACACTATTTACATTACATTACTTTTGTTTTTAACAATGTCTATAATTTTTTTAACGTCAATATTAATCAATAAATTTTGCTATACAGTCTACAGCTATAAGCAAGAATGTTTCTACTTATTATTTGAAGCCCACGGACCACCGGGAAAATACGCCACTGGGCAATAGATAAAAATCTATAAATCCCTATTATAGTATAAGTGTATCGTGTATAACACCCGTTTTTTTGAGTTATAATTCAGAACAATACCTATATAGAAAATAGATCCCATTGTGCCCAAATCCTAAACGATAGATCATCGTCTGTATATGGACCTAAAAAACTGATATTTCGACCATCGAACATACTATTCGGCCAATATCGTTGCGCATTGCAAGCATTTCATATGTTATCTATGATTGCATTTGAGGACTTAAGGCTATTAAACACACGAGGAAGAGAATAAAAAACGACGACGGCCGTGAGACGTCAGTCACGCGAGAATAATTAACGTAATAAGAATTCATAAGAAAGCAAATAACAAGCAATGAGCATGACAATATACGTAAACAATGTTGTTATATATCAAGAGTTTATGATAACGAATTCGGACTTCGGAGTTTATGACTGACCGGTTGTTGCTGACTGCTGTGGTTCCGAGTTCACTCTTTTGGTAAACAATAAACTTACCTCACAATAGCTGGCAGCGCTAACAAAGAACAACAGCTTCGACGGAACGGCGAGACAATCTTTTGTAGGTCGTTTCAACGAGATACAGCGAATGAACGAAACGCTTTGTGAATCGTAATGTGCTTTGCGTTCGCTTTCCGTTGCCGCGCGGAAATCGTCAAATGGAGATGTGAGTGTTGCACTAACGTTATTCAATATTCAGGTATTCAAACAACGTACAAAGTATAAACATAAAACGAATGACTATGATCGTTAACCACTCCGGTCTCCGACACCACTATTCCAGTAACCACTTCCCCGCGAACCCCGGATCTGTTTTCGAGATCAGCTGATCGCAATGCGCGGTATTCGTCATTGTTGATGTTGTTGTTTTGTTGTTCATGGCCCATGAAGGCGGGTTCACACTTCACCGTGTCGTGTAATATAATCACGGTTACCTAAGTTACCAAACGATACCGCATAGTTGAATATATTCAACTTTTGACCGTGTGGTTACATTTATGTGCAGATAAAGCCGGGTTCATACTTAATGTAACCACACGGTCAAAAGTTGAATATATTCAACTATGCGGTATCGTTTGGTAACTTAGGTAACCGTGATTATATTACACGACACGGTGTAGTGTGAACCCGCCTTGACCCTCATTCGCTCAGTCTCCTGTGTGTTTACGTTTGTTCGTTACCACTTACCACTCACGACTCACCAGTTGTTGGCTGTTAAGAGGGCATTGGCGTCATTTCAGTTTTTATTAGACTAGGGCAACTTTTCAATATGACATAAAAACATGAATTCGTAATTCAAGTAATACGGCTTATTGAAGCAATTTACAGTAAAAATATCTGTTGTAAAAATTGTTGAGGAGACATTTTTCAGCCCGATTTTCGATATTTGTATTAATTAGTTAATTAATTAATCGATAAAAAGTTTAAAAAAAAGTGTTAATTTACCATGTGATATTGGACTATTGGAACACGATATCAAAAATCGGGCTCTTTACGATCCTACTACCTATCCTAGAAACTGTCCAATGTCCATTGACTGTAATCTATGGTGAGGCAAGGTGGGCATTTGCCCCTGTCTGATCTTAAAAGCAGCCCAATGGGCCGTTACATTGTGGTTTTGATTAACCAGTACCTACTGTATTAAATTAGTGCAAAGACATGGCGGCTTTATTTATAGGGAAATATTATATTGAGTAGGTAGGTACTAAGAAATTATTATCACAATGATAAATTGATAATAAGTTATTAATAGTTGGAATATATTTATATTTATACTCAAGTGTGGACGTACATGAAAGTTTGTATGTAGTATACTAGTATGTATGTATGTAATCATAGGCGCACATAGGGGGGTGCTTGGGGGTGCTTAGCACCCCAAGCTTCAAACTAGCAACCTCGGTATTTCACCAATCATTTATAAACTATCGTGGTTTACTGGTTCGGAATTTTTCTTTTCATTACAAATATTGACAACTGTTTACGCATTCACGAATTCATTTTTTTTAATTATTTAGTTATTTATATTTCCATTTTCTATACATGATAAAATTTTCTAAATATTTTGAGTTATTTTGAGCTTTTTACGGACATTTTTAGTTTCCATTTTTTTTAGTTTTTTTTTCTATAAGTATCAATACAATTTTATTTGTTGGGTATAAAAGCTTAAACATTTAATAGAAGGCTTCTAATATATTGTTTCAAAGATAGATGAAAAATATTAAAAAGCCTTAGTCACAGTTTTTGGTTATAAGCATTTAAATTCCAAATATTGACAAAATACGTGAAAATGACGAAAATTTGCAAATTATTTCGAGTTAGAAATTCATAAAAATTTTTTTTTTTAAATCTAAGATATGAAAATGTAATGCAAGATTCCTCATTAGTTTGACTACCTTTATCAAAAAAAAATGTCTACAAGAATCTCAAATTAAATTTTTATAAAAGTTTGAAATTCATATTTTTACAACATTTGATATTCACTCGATTTCTCATGTAACGATTTTCTAATTTTGTTGTAATTAAAAACGAATGACTGTAGATACTTGAAAATTTTACTAAATTTTTATATTAGCATTTCCTATACACCATATAGTTTTGAAAATATTTTGATTCTTTTTGAGCTATTTACGGACATTTTCAGTTTTCAATTTTTTAAATTTTTTTTTCTATTCATATCAATAAAATTTTATTTGTATGGTAAAAAGCTTGAAAATTTAATGCAAAGCTCCTGATATATTGTTACAATAACACTTGAAAAATATTAAAAATACATAGGCACAATTTTATTTTATAATTATTTAAAATTCAAATTTCACATTTAAATTTTAATAATAATTTTATAGTTAAAAATTTATAAAATGTTCAACTTTTATAGCTAATGATTGAAAATTTAAAACAAGATTCTACGGAAATAGGTTATATATAAATTGCTTTATTCACCTTAGTATCATCAAATATACTTAGTAATATCATAGGCTGACTAACCAGTAACCGTCTTCGCTCAGAATCGCTTGATATCGGAAATATAAAAACAAAGTTACAGAGTAAATTTTCTCATTTTTATAGTGTGAACATTTAGTTTCTTAGCTTAGAGTAGAGCCTGAATGTTTTTTATACCCGTGCAAAACAGTTTTGCCTATGTTGTACCTACGTCTGTAATACGGAGACAACACAATATGTGGGTGTACCTAGCGTCTTCTTTACAATCATACAGACTATTTGATACATTGCACTTTAGAAATTATTGTATACACTATACAAATTAAATCTAATGCAATGCAGAAATATTAGGATTAGGGGTTGTGGGGGGCAAAGCCCCCCACGGATCTGTGAACTATAAATTATCCCAGCACCCCCTAAATTCACACCCAATGTGCGCCTATGTATGTAATATGTTAATATGAATGTATGTATGTGTTTTATGAAAGAAAAAGAGTGAGTGGTTATTTTTAAGTTACCCATTTGGGCTGGTTGAAACCTTTACCCCCTCTTTTAAAAAAACTGAAATAACACCACTGACTGTAATAATAACTACATAAGCCTACCACCCACAACCCACAGATAGGTGCTTGAGATAGCGATTAGCGATAGCATGCTGATGGACGACGGTACTAAAAAAGTTATTATAGGTACCTATTATACAGATCCTTATCAATCGGCAGTATTTTGATTTCTAAAACATTAAACGCTTAAATTGTCAAGTGCTTTCAATTGAAGTCAGTAGGAATAAGGAAAACAAAGAGTTCTACTTCTCCTTAATTGCATTTTTTACACTTACATTATTGTGGAGCAAATAGTCAAGGATTAATTAATAGGATTACGTATCCACAATCCACTTATATTTAAAATTTTTTATTACAGTAGGTAAACCATTAATAGTGTCATCCTCTGTAATTATCGATTTAGAAATCAATATACTGTTGACTACCGTTCTCGTTTTTATTATAATTTATAAATATTATAACCTAAGAAAATCTAGGAAAACAGTTTTTAACAAGTCGATAATTTCCGACAGCTTTGTTATTAAGAAAATGCCAACTGATAGTTACGAAAAATTCAAAGTGGGTGAGGGTATGCCGCCGACTTTAAGTAACTAGGTATCACTCAACACCCCCGCTTATTGCACCACTGACTATTGAAATAAAAATATTAAATTTATAAATGTTGAAGCAATCTCGCTCTACATAAGTTGCCTACTCGGTATTTATGTTTTTGTTTATTTATAAGGGTATCAATTACCTAGCAAGGCTTATGAGTTATGGATAATAAATAATAATTTATTATAATCTATTATCTATAAGTCTATGGGTACCTAGTACTGTGTTATTGATTTTATAGTTATCAGCAGTCGCCGCCGAATTGTTTTCACTTTTCGACTCCAGTGGCCAGTCTCCATAATTTCTAAAAAACTGTTGACGTACATAATATCTGCTTATTTTTTTTAGTTAAAAATAAAGCGTTTATACATTTTTTGTGTGATTGGGGAGGGGGGGGTTAATCCAACACTCGTCACTGTAACATAAATTAATAATTTTATTATGTTTGTCGGGAATAAATCCTTACAATATAAAATATTGCCCTTAACAATTCCGTCAAAACGTCGTCTTCGATAAAGTACTTTTTACCATCGGGGGAGGTGCATCAGCTGGGACCGGTTCGGGACAATAATTGATACGGCGCGCGCGCTCACACTTGGCAACACTGTGGAGCCTGAGTCGGCACCGCCGGGACCTCGCCCGCCGTTCAAACGCTGTCCGCAAACGGCGGCAACCAATATCTGGATACCACGGTACTAGCGGCAACGACCGCGGCGTTTTATGGTATGCCCCGGGAGCATCGAACCGAATGGCGTATAACCGATACTCTGTAAGTTGAAACGGAAAAACTTCTGAGACACCGTATCAGTCCTCGCTCGTTTTTCGGCGTCCTGTCCGTGTTGCCCACCAAAACTGGTTCGCGACACTCGACGGGATCGCTTTTCGAGAATCATTTTTAAGCGCATCTCGCAGGTCAGTGCCGAGCACCGCTGCGCTTTTTAAAGTACGGCACGTCGTCCATTACCAACGGACTCACCGTTACGGCGTCGCATCGTCCGTTAGCCGTTTGGCGGCGGCGGAGTTTAGTACAGAAGTTGGAAATCCGAATCAGCTGCTGTAAGATCGTTTTCTTACTCTTTGTCGTCGTTGTCAGAGCAATCCGGTCGGCGGACGTGGTGACGAACAGGGAACCAAAAGGACTGCTCAAATATTTATCATCCCACCATGGCGCCGACTACTAGGAGAAGTGAGTAGCCGGCTTCCACTTTGCCGTTTTTTTATTTTTGATACTCAAAAATGTTTAATGTTCAAGTCGTGAACTCAGTACATTTTACAGTTTCTAAGTACCTACTGGGTAAAAATTATTGTTCTAAATTGATAGTATACAACTGAATTAAATACTTGTAAAACTTGATTCACCTATCTAAAATACAACTGTTATTCATTTTTAAAATTGCAAGTTAATGAATTATTGTAATTTTGACAGGTAATGGGGTGGCACGTAGGCCAACGGCTCGTCAACCCATACCCAAAAATGTGTTGGTAGAGCTGAGCACCAGTCATAATAAAGCCTGCATGTTTTGTGGACAGAAAGAAATAAGCGAAAAGTTGTATGGCCTTCTATATCAACTCAATGATGTTATTTGCCATTATTTTTGTATTGTAAATAAATTTTCTAAAATATTAATAATATATTGTTATTAGAATATAATTATATTATTTATTTTCAGTTATTATCGTCGAGGGCCAGTCAAAATGGTACAGACAGGGAGGGGATTTGGGGATTTTTACTAAAAGATATAAAATCCGAACTAACCAGAGGATCTAAAGAAGTATGTACTTTCTATATTAAGCAGCGTGTTACGTAATTACATCGTAATTGTGATTTTAGACTTGTGTTTATTGCAAGAAAAAGGGCGCAACTATATCATGTTGCGGAGTAAAATGTCGTAAAGTGTTTCATCTTCCTTGTGGAATCAAAAATGGATCTATGCATCAATATTTTCAATCATTTAAGTATGGTTAATTTTTTATTCGTAAACCTATTTTGTATACCCTTCATAGTCATTTATCCAAATATTTTTAGGTCGTTTTGTCAACAGCATCGTATTACCCAAGCTATAGATTTAAAAGAGTTACAGACTTCTGCTTCTGTACAATGTGCTATTTGCAAAGATGATGTGATACCGTCTCCTTTACCAACTTCTATTTGGGCACCTTGTTGCAAACGTAATGCTTGGTTTCACCGAGGATGTATTCAAGATCTAGCATTGAGTGCAGGCTACTTTTTTAAATGCCCATTATGTAATAATGTTGATACTTTCAAAAGCAGGATGCTCACCCTTGGAATTTACATACCATCACGGTAATTGAGTTTTATTTATCCTAATTGTTGAACATTGATAATTCGTCGCCGTCGTGTAATAAATAATTTATTGCACGACGGCGACGACATGTATGTACAACATTTTCTAAATAAAATATAAAAGCTAATCTAAGTTTACTTATCACTTTTCAAATGCAAAATTATTCACAACAAAACATTTTTTTTCGTATAAGTAAAATACATTTTTATATTAGATCATGGAACGAAAAAAAAATGATTAAAGTTGTAATGAAATATCAAAATAATAAGTGTAATACATTAAATCAATCGCCTTGTATGAATAAATATGCTTTATATAAAAAGTTAAATTTTTTTAAAGTAAATGCGAAGTGTATAAGTTAATTATGTGTATTGTGAATATGCGTACACTGATACGCTTATATCATTTTTATACTATATACAGTTACCTGAAAAAATTAAATCACAGGGACGCATCTTGGGAAACTGTACCCAACGCATTTGCAGAACTCTTAGAAAGACACAGTGCTTGCAATGCTCCAACCTGTCTATGTCCTCATCAAAATAGGCGAACACATCAACATGAGTCGTAAGTAATTTGTTTTTAATGATATTGATAAGTTAAATTGTACACCCTGATACATAGTTTATTATACTCTGTCACGCGAGAGATCATGACGTGTGCCAACCAAAACTGGTTCTCCCACACAACACCCTGACATATAGGAACTGGTTTTGATAGCAGAGTAACGCGAGTGGATGTGCTGAACCGGCATGATCTCTCGTTGGACGGAGTATAGAGTGCAGTAGATTAAGAATATGAGAGCTTGCACTTAAAAAGAATTGTTATAAATACACATTCAATCAGTATATAAAATGCTTTCATTATTTATGAAATTGGCATATTAATGTAAATTCAATTTCATTATAATTATTTCAACTTTTGTTGTATCAAATTAATCATATATTATCTACATATTAATAACTATTATAATATATCTGTATATTCTAAATTTCTAACCATCAATGTTAATTTTATCAATCAATAATCATTATTAAAATTCCGTTGTTATTAAATTGGATATTAAAGTGCTGATCGAGTGTTTAATTGGTTAAAATTATATATATATATAATCAAATACTCATTACAGGGCTGTGAATGCACTAATAAACTAATAAACCTTAAAAAATTCATCAAAAAAGTGTAATATAAAATGCCAAAAATTATAGTATAAAATATTGATTTTAAGAATATTATATATTAGTACATTACATTTAACATGCATAAAAATGTGTTTATTTCATAAAAAAAAAAAATAATAATATTGATTGAATTAGGGCTTGAAACCGGTTACCATGACCAATTTTGGGTCTGGTAACCGCTTCCTGGTTTGTAAGTTTAAATTTTGAGAAGTGATTAACAATTACCAGTAACTACCAAGTTCAATTTAGATGAAACATGTAGCGGTAACCTTTTTTTTTTATAAACTGGTCAATTCAACAAAACCGGAAATATCAAAACAATTACATTTTATTATAATTTTATATTTTTATATATTTTCTTTTTTTTTTTTTTTGGTTAATCATTTTATTTACAAAATAATAAGTACGATTAAAGATGGTAAAAGTACTATCTATAGCCACGATAATAAGTAATAAGCACCAATTATAGATACTAATTACTAAGTACGATTCATTGGTTCATAGGCATATTATAATAGAAATAGAATATAATAGATAATTATTATTTTATTGTTATTGACTTTGATTAACACTTTTCTATAAACTATTTTTCAATCAATGTTTATGGGTAATTTACTAATTTAATTTATATTTATATTTATCCATAGCTTCAAATTATAAAATATAGTCGTATAATAATTTATTATTTAATTTAACTTGTCCTAAACAATTTAATAAACTAGATATTTGCTTTGTGTAAATTAAAGTAAAACTAAATTTTTAAGAACAAAACTTAATTGGAAAAAATTGTTTCCTAAGTGGTTACCGCTTATCTTGAAGCATTAAAACTGCTTTCAAACCAATAACCGGTAACCACATTTTTGTAACCGGTAATCAAATACCACTAATTCTAAAAACTCCTAAAACCGGTAACCATTTACAAAAAAAATTTCCGGTAACCGAATTTTCCAAAAGCGATTTCAAGCCCTGATTGAATTTGAATTTTATTCAATGCTATTCACCTAAACATATTTAAAAAAAAAAATTATATATTTATTTTGTTTAAATAATAAAACAAACTTAAATATATTAATTTGCGGATACCTTATTCGTCTTTAGTCTTTACTACTAAATTGGACCAAAAAAAATCATTAAAATGTTTTTCTAACATGTCAATTAACGGAATTTGATTCGAAATACCGGAAAACGGAACTAAAAAAAGGAAAATATAACCTAAAAATGCAAAATAAAAGTTTCATACAAGTTTTAGTCAGGCCACGGTACTGTTCTCTCCTGGCGCAGAGTACCTATAGCTAACTTATTAAAGTCATTATTACACCTCAACTATGACTGTTGAAACTGAGAATCTGTAATTGTACATCAATAAACTATAATATTCCACCTTTATACTGTTGGGATTCTTGTTATACAATTCACCAATATTCATGTAAAAAAGTATATTATAATTATAAAATAAACTGTGTGTTCTGAAACGTATCAGACAAAAATATTAAAGAGACCTTAAAAAATATAAGCAAGCGCCAATTTTTTTGGATTGGTAAATTGTTGTGTGAAGCTAGGAACTTTTCAACATATGCGATAGGCAATTATGATGAGGTCAATGATGTCACTCGGCTATTCTACATTTCTTAATATTTCCTAAAGTTATCATTTTTTTTACATCGGATTTTCACCAAATCATTTAATGTAGCCATAGCAACAATAATTCAACCTTTAAAAAAATGTAAAGAACATTTTTTTTCTGTTGAGTGCTCTTTTAACAAGATTAAAATAAAGTAAATATCTAAGCAGTTTTTTCTGAATATTAAAGGGTCAATGCCTAATTTAAATTAAGAATAATCAGATCTAACTGAGTTTTTATAGGTTACCTAAAAAATAACTGGTGTGGTCAGATTGTGAATCTGACGCTCAATGTTGATGTGTGAACGTCAACATCTTTTACCCCTTATTTTGGTTGGTTCAGATTTAATATTTAAGCATTTTATGATAAATAACAATGATTAATAATACTAAGAAAATATCATGTGATAATTTATATAATCAAAATGAATACAGATAATAATAATAATAATAATAACAATTTGATATAATACTTGAATGTATATATATTATATACGTTGCCACGGATACTCTACTTGGGCTACTGAGTTGAACGATTGCCCAACTTCCATTATACTATTTCGTAACATCAAATTTACCAATCACTAAAGACCGATTTTTTTATACACACTTTTTTTTTGTTGGGGGGGAGCGTAAAGATGTTGACACATCAATAATCTTGTATTTCTAATTTATTTACTAACATAGATTAATAATGGTTCCATTAATAATCATTCCAAAATTAGATGTACAAGAGCAAACTACAATACTTTCCATCAGAGTGAGTTAGTGAATTCTTGGACAATTCTGGTTTTTTATAAAGCAGATAAATTCCGTATGAGAGAGATACCTAAATGAAATAGAATGTAAACTAAATATACCATTGCATGCTCATTCTGAAAATTTCAAAATTAAATAGGCAATGAATCAGAGACAGATTTTGTGTTATAACTTATAACCAATAGTTCTTAAAAGACCTCATAGATATTATTTTATGGAATATAAAAATATTTCAAATTAGTTATTTATTTCTTGAACACTTGTGTTTAACCACCCTTGACTACTTCATTAAATTCACTTTATTTGGAAATACTTTTTTTGATTTAAGTTTTCTATACTCTGTTCAAAATGAGATCAGTATTGGGTGGTGACCAGTTTTTGACGCCATCCCCACTACGGTGGCGCATAGAGTTGTATCGTGTGGCAAAGCTATGCCTTGCACACAATTTGGCTGCCCGGTACTGATATTCATTTTGAACAAAATATAATTCAATATGGTGTTAATAAGAAAAGAGCATACACACGACGTCAGGATGTCAAACGGATGATGCTTAGTTATATATTATGTTAATACTGGAAATTCACAAAATTGAAAATAGTAATTGTGTAATAAGTTGTATATCCTTGTAATTATTGATTTTTTAATTAGATAACTTCTGGTATTTGGACTTTTTATTCTGATATTGATAAACTTAAAAAAAAGAAAATTAAAATAAATATGAACAAACAATTATTAAAGTGACATTAATACATTTTTTATTTTTCATTCAGTGGTTCCTGGGAGATTATACTCTGCCATACATGTGGTTCAAATGGAACCCATAGATTGTGTAGTTCTATAAAATGTGATCAACGCTGGCTTTGTACAGCTTGCACGGTTGTTGCAGGTATGTTTATTATTATTGTATTTATTTGTTATAATATGCTATAATTTATGAAACCCTCTCAATAACTGAGGTTACGGCATTACACGATTTTAAAAAATCCATAAATAAAAGTCCAAAACTACCCAAATTTAATACGGATTTAAAATTATTGTTTGTAGGTGATTTTATTAGGTTAGGTAAGTTTTGTTGGGAAGACCTACTTAATATATTATTTTATAATTTAGATGACATAATTGTTTTAAAATAATATAAGACAATTTAACTGTTGGGCGTAGTTGCAATAACAGAATTGAGTTTGGACATTTGTGTTTTGAGACAATAACTAATAAATAGTAGGTACCATAACGTCATAAATTACAAATTTGTTTAGTATTTTAGTTATTTAAAGTTGATTAAAATGTTAAATAATATATTTTTTTTAAATTTGTATGATGTTTGGACACTATGACATTTTGAGTTCATCTATCACGGTATCAGATTTTTAATTTTGTTTTTTTTTATCATAACTGCTGTATACTGTTGCTTAAGACTACCTACCTAAGTTTTATCAACTTTACAGGAAAGCAAAAAAAAATTTGTTTTCTGTGTAATTTATAGGTATTTTAACATTTTTAGTTAAATGAAATAGTTTTTTTGTGATTCAAACTGCAAAAAAACACAAGAAATACATTATTAATACACCAAAATATTTGAGATAATTTTAAAACTAACAGGGGCTATCTCATTTTATAATTCAAACTTCATCACAAGCTATCTCAACAGCAATACAAACCAGAGTATCTTTCTCGTACAGGTGCATAATTAGAGGTGATGAAAGGATGATAGATCCCTCCCCCCCCCCCCAGAGACTTAATAATATATATGCTACGGGCAATGTGAATCACAAAAATTTAAATGACATCATTGTCTCCATAGTTAAATTTTTAAATTTTTAATTTATTTTGTCAATTTCAACCACCTTGCCCAATAGATAAATGTATTTCATGTACAATTACATTCTTCGGTTATTGGAAAATGTACTATTTATGCGGTCCCTTGCCCCTCCCACTATGACTTCTATTATGTTCATTTGTGGTTACGACGCAAGTTAATACTCACAATATTTTTAGTATTAACCTATTTTGTTGCACGTGGTGTTGGATGACCTTGCGGTTAGTATATATGTATAAATAATATTTAACACCGATCACACTAATCTCGATTGGCCTAATATTGGATTATATATCTTAATTAACTTGCATAATATATCATACTATTATCATTGATTAATAATATTGTGGTTGTTATGTATGCAGACTGCAGGGATACTGTATCTGTAACAATACATTTTTAAGGGTTTTCCATTAGTGTTGTCTTTAAGACAATTTTATTAAACACATTAAAATTTGTTAATACAAATCAATATAACTGTTAAGTACGTATAAAAAACTGGCTCATTATAAAACAAAAATATCAATTTTACTATGTAACTATTAGTTTCTAGAGGGTATCCACACTGGTGGGCCTCCCTCCTCACGCTATTCATGTTTTCTACCTTATTTATTATTAAATTTACTTATTGTTTTATATAAATATATATATTACAGATTTAAATACTTATTTTTATCTAATAAAAAAAAAAAAAAAAAAAAAAATAGTTCACTCTCCACTGATATCCATTATTTTGCATATTTTTAATTAACATAATTTTTATAAAGCATTGAATAATAATAAATTTCAGATAATACCAAGAAAAAACGATTAGAATTACCTATTCAGGGGAATTGTAGTGCCATTTCTGTTATGTTTGAACAAGGGCCAAACAGAATACCGCGAAGTCGGCCACCACCAGATGATACAATACTTATTTCTTCAGATGACAGTAATGATAGCCATGATAGCAGTATACAGGTAATACATTTTAAATGTTTTCAGGTGAATGTTATTGAAATATTCACTCATGATTTTACTTTTATACAATAATTTATTTTGAACGTGTATTAACCTTTACAGGTACAACAATGTCTATTATTACTGGGGGATTTTAAATAATAATATGTATTTAAAATGTATTGTTTTTATTTTTATAAACTAATTAATTAATATTATATGTATATATCAGTGCCAGACCCTTTGGATCCCCCTCCCCCGTAAATCCATCTATTATAAAGTATAGTCTGTTCTAATAACCATCTTAGCTGATTACACCAGATTTGAAGAATATAATACATAATTCATTCTAAAAATATGAACAACTTATAATTATTTATAATAAAAGATATGTTTGTTTTATTTATGACTTTATCTATTAACTTCTTGCTTATAATATATATTTTTCTTATTTTGATCTTTGCCAACATAACTGAATTTAAGTACTGAATATAGCTTAAATTACCAATCTTGTTTAATTATTCTGTTTACTACCAAAGTAATATAATATTTTCATAATATAAATTTTCAATTTTTTTTTATAGTGTATAGCTTATATTACTCCACCAGGACCACAGCCACAAATTATTCAAACGCCTCAAAATCGGTTGCCATTAGTAGCTACTTTCTCATCAATGGGCCCAGGTTCTACAAGAAATCGCTTTAACCGTAGATTTTCTATTTCTACAAACCAGTCAAAATCTTTGACTTATATCATATCAGATAGTAAGTAATTAAATAATAAAATATTTATGACAAAATTGTCCGAGTATCATCTCATTTTTACATTTCTAACCTCTCATAAAGAGTAACCTCTGTTTACGATACATTTTTGTTCGGTCTGATCAGAACTAGAGATGTGAAATTTGCCGGTAAATTTTTTTAGTAATATTTGTAAAAGTATAGTTTCATATAAAGCTTACGTTACCAATTTCTTACCTTCTCAAAATCTTTTTACGAAGGGTGTAGATGTAGGATGAATATTTTTTAAAAAAAATTCTAGCTACCAACCGATATAACCTGTACGGTTATTATACAACAATACACTAAAATACAGTGTCTGCACTTTTAGTTGTATGGGTGGTTACTTTGGCTATCTATACTCTGTTCAAAATAAGATTGTGACCCGGCGGCCGAGTTGTGCGCATGGGCGTGGCTTTTTTCTGTGGCTGCGCTCGACGCGTCGCTGTAGTGGGGACGGCATCTGGCCATATGTCTGACCGCTGCCCGACGAAAACTGGTCGCCGCCGGGTCACGATCTTATTTTAAACAGAGTATAAATAAAAATTATTACACTAGTATAAACATTAAAAATTAGGGGTCACTTTATTGATTTTGTAAACGGTAAAAAATATTTACCTGGTAAAAGACATCTTGGTAAAATGTACGTAAATTTATGCTTACCCATAAATTTACCAAGCTCACAAATCAGAACACACCTCTTATTATAAGTTTTCATTATCTTTCATTTACAGCTACCAGTCATGGCTGGCAAATAGGAAAATGCTTGGTGTTTGTTAACCTTACCAATTGCCATGACCAAAATGTACTATCTGAGGTTACTCTTATGTGAGATGGTATAATCAATTTTTCTCTGTGAATAAGTTCTCTAATATAAACATTTTGCAGAATATATAAAATCAATATTATTGTATACATATTATGTTTAAATTTAATAAATATATTATTGTTTTATTTAGTATTAATTTAAAATATGTATTTCTGCAGGTATTGATTTAACTAAAGACGATGACGATGGTGCAAATAACACATGACATATATAAATGAATAATTGGACTACCAGTTGAATTTGATATTATATAATGTTCAAATTGTATACATGATGCTTACCATAGAGCAAATTATACAATTTAAGACTGATTGGATTTTCCTTCATTTTATTTTTTGCTATCTATATTATATAAGCTATATGCCAATTTAAAACTGCTATCTGAAATTAAATGTAATAGTTTCTACCCAATTTTAAATATTGTAGTTAATTATTAATTGAGTTCAATAAACTGTAAAACACTGCCCATAACAACTTAAACATAACTAAGGTAATATTATGTTATATTGTCTCCAATTTTTAATTAAATTTTTTTTCTTTTATCTTTTGTGACCAAGTTTTTGTTTGAACTGTTACATTTTTGATTATATGTATTAAGTATTCAAGTTTATATAACAAAAGTAAATATGAAAAAAAAAATAGAAAAAGTATGTATCATGTAATTATGTTAATATATTTTGATGAATAAAAAATTATAAATCTTTCTTTTTAATATAAAATACAAAGTTTGTGTACCTATTCTGTACAGTCATAATTCAATTTATTGGGATCTTCGAACTTGTTGTTTTAATTTTTGATGTTCTATATCTAGTTGTTTCCTTATATTTCCTAAGTTTGATAATAAGTGTTTATCAGTCGGCAACTCATGGTTATTTCCTAGTTTTGCATCTCTTGAGACCTAAAAAATATAAATGTAAAATGTAGTTGAAGAATATTAAGGTTTTATAAAATGAAATAATGTAATTGATGATATGACTTAAACATATTTTTTGATGAAAATATAACTATACCTACTGATGTAATATGTATAAGATATATTAAATAAATGTATTTTAATTAGCTTATCTGTTTTTGTATTTTAATAATTATATAAAATTTAATTTACTATTGGGATGTATTTTCTTGTGCTGACAGATAATGTCACAGACTAATGACAATATCATAATACAATTTGATAATTATTTTAAAAGGTAAATTGACTGTGGCAGAGTAGACCCAATTTTTAAGTAATATTTTGTAATTCCATTTGCATGACAAATAATAGATTAATGTGATATGACCTTGAATGCACTACAAATTCACAACTACTTAGTGAGGAATTAACTTTAATTTTAAATTACATGCTGTGAACACTTATATTGGTTAGTTAATTACGATAGTTCCAATAATTTTTATGTACAGTAACATGTTAGTTTTAAAATTAATATTTATTTCGCTTTCTTTTTCCTTGAGGTTGAGGTACTCTGGATCTACTCTGTAGTTAAATTGAAAAATACTTGAAACAGTCAATTAACATTATCAAAAACTGAGGTGTAACAAAAAATAATTTACTATGGTTAAAATTTGATGAGAATATTAAAACTCTAATTCTCAATATGTTGGATAATTACAACATGAACCTATTTATTTAATAACTTACATTATTTAGTATTTACGGTGATAATACCATTGAGAATCAACCTGTACATATAATGTTACTCATTAAAAATGTTTACAATATCATAACTCATAAGCAGGGCTCGGGACTTAAAGCATTTGCTTATTTTTTTAGATTGACATAAAATGTAGCAGAGTACTATAGAAGTGTATGTCATGTTACAACACATTCAATTATGAAATTTGAGTGCATTTTTTTGCTTTTTTCAGTGATTTTTCAAAAAAATGCTTATTTCAAGTTTTTATGATATTTATTGCTTTTTTGACCAGTTTTCATACTTTTTTATGGTTTTCTACTGCAAAGTTGTTTATAGATAGAATTAAAATTAAAATTTATTAAAAAATTATTTTTTATCAACTATTTGTAAATATTGTTTACATTTTATTTTTCAGAAAATCCCTTGGAAAATCCATAAAATCCTCAGTCCTGAAAATGAAGTTTAATTTTTTTTATAATATAAAGATAAATTTTTATTTTTATTTTATTGTTTTTTTTTTTAATAAATATTTTTGCTTAAATTTAAGTTTTTTAAATGCTTATTTGAGTGCTTATAATGATGTTTTTAAGTGCTTATTTTAATGATTTTAAGTGCTTTAAGTCCCGAGCTCTGCTCATAAGTAAAGCACTAACAAGTATAATATGCAGTAAAAATTGTAAAAATATTTACAAATAAAAAAACATTTTTTAAAAATAGGTAATAGCAAAAAATAAAAATAGTACACAATTAAATTGTTAACTTTATAATGTTAAAACTTATAATTTATTTATTAATTACCTTTAAACAAAATAAAATTAAGAGTTTTTTAGTAAAATTGTTAAAGAAGGTTTTAAACAAGAAGATCTTTCTGTAACCGGGCTGTAAGGAACGATAGAAATGATAGGTATTAGCATTTAGCATTGATTATAAATACTATTATAAAATATGTATAAGTAATCAATGGTATTAGATAACCAAATACATTTATTATTACATCCGTAGTCTCATAGCACAAAAACGTCGCGCTCGCTGCCTATGACAAAGATCAAAATATCCCACTGATAAATCCCACTACAATATGCTTGCCCAAAAACTCAAACGGACCCTAGCAAACTATAGAAACAAATCTTATACTAACCACTTAGAATCACTTACGACTAAGGACGGTTCTCTCTGGAAAGCTATCAAACAACTTCTTCGTATACGAAATCCCCCAGCCACCCTACGCAATGCAAATGGAAACTGGGCATACTCTGATGAGGAGAAAGCTAACATATTCGCAAACCATCTAGCTGATACTTTTCAACCTCACAATACCATTCTCCTTCCGGGAAAAATTAATATAGTTGAACAATTTCTCAACTCACCACTACAAATGTCCCTCCCACCGAAGCATATATCTCCTGCTGAAATTCGCTATATAATATCTAAACTCCCCAGGAAAAAGTCTCCTGGCTATGATCTAATAACTTCTGAAATACTCAACCAGCTTCCAAAAAAAGTTATCGTACTTCTCACCTATATATTTAACTCAATGCTCCGATTATCTTACTTCCCTATATTATGGAAGTTTTCCACTATCATACTCATCCTCAAACCAAAAAAACCACCCGACTATCCAACATCATATAGACCTATTAGCCTGCTTCCAATACTGTCGAAAGTGTTTGAAAAAATATTATTAAAAAGAATCTTAAACATTATCGCTGAATCCAAAGTCTTACCTGACTCTCAGTTTGGTTTTCGTACCAAACACTCCACGATACATCAAATTCACCGTATAGTAGATAAAATATCATTTTCTCTAGAAGAAAAACAATATTGCACTGGGGCCTTCCTTGACGTTACTCAAGCCTTTGACCGAGTCTGGCACGCAGGCCTTTTATTTAAGCTGAAACTCATCCTACCGTCTACTTATTATCTTATACTCAAGTCCTACCTAGAAGATCGTTTCTTCTCGGTACGTTATGGTTCATCTAACTCCTCACCAAAACCCGTAAATGCAGGAGTCCCCCAGGGCGCAGTCACTGCTCCTCTGTTATTTAATATATTCGTATCTGATCAACCCACGCTGCCCACTAGCCTCATCGCTGACTTTGCCGATAACAAAGCTATTTTAACCAATAGCCATGATCCATCCATTGCTTCCTCGCATATCCAAGAACACCTATCCCTCCTCGAAAAATGGTATAAGGAGTGGGGTGTGAAAATAAACGAATCTAAATCTATATAATGTACCTTCACTCTTAGGAAGGGAATATGCCCATCTATTACCTTAAATGAGCAAATCTTGCCAACCGCGCAGAGCACTCGCTATCTAGGCATAATCATTGATCAACGCCTCACATGGTCTCCTCATCTTCGCAGCAAACTGCTATCCTTAAACAATCGATTTCGTCTTCTCCGCTCTCTCCTAACCTCCAAACACATAAAACTACCAACCAAGCTTCTAATATATAAACTTTATCTTAAACCAATGTGGACGTACGGAATTCAATTATGGGGCTCTGCAAAAATTTCAAACACTAACCGTATCCAACGCTTCCAATCCAAAACGCTCCGAGCCATAACTAAAGCACCTTTCTACGTGTCCAACCAGACCTTACATAACGATCTTGCCATCTCACCCGTCTGTGATGTAGCTAGAACTTTTTATAGACGATTTAACTTATCTGTTAAAAACCATGATAATCCCCTAATTAAAGAATTTGCGTCGGCAAACATACCCGACAATCCTAGGAAAAGACTAAAAAGGCGGTGGTGTCGGGACCTATTAATTTAGTTAATTATCTAATCTTTTTCTATTTATAAATAATTGTTAACTTATTGAAATGTATATAAACAGCTGACAAAGTGTCTTCACTGGAAGGCTTCTTAAATCCGTCCTTTCCTCAAGCCACTTACTCATTCAATTATCTATTTTACTTATTGTTCATATTTTTATTGTAACAGATTGTAAATAAAAATTATAAAAATAAAAAAATTAAAAAATTTATTATTAGAACTTTCTGTTAAGCGAAATATTATTTTACATCTGTATTGTTTAGAAAACAGTATACAATTTAATTACACTGCAATACTGCAATATGCAATAAATATCAAATTAAGTAAAAAAATATGCAATAACCAATAATCATGAAATATAAGGTATAAGCAGAAATAATATGTAAATTATTATTAATTATAAAATGGCATTAGCTTGAAACCATCACAATTTGTAAAAGTTATTGATAGAAAACCATAGGTTTAAAAAGTTAAAAAGTCGCTCTGCTGTACAGTAGGTTACAAGTGGGTCACTATAATGGATGGATCATTGTATAAGAAAAACCTAGTCTATCAGTCAGCCTATGATATTACAAAATATGTAAAAGATATAAAGGTGAATAAACTATAAAGTAATATAATATAATATATAACCTATTTACGCGGAATCTTGTTTTAAATTTTCAATTCTTAGCTATAAAAGTTGAACATTTTATAAATTTTTTACAACAAAATTATTATTAAATTTTAAATGTGATAAATTTTGTCAAAATTTGAATTTTAAATGCTTATAAAAAAAACTGTGCCTATGTATTTTTAATATTTTTCAACTGCTATTGTAACAGGAGCTTTGCATTACATTTTAACGCTTTTTTACCCAACAAATAAAATTTTATTGATATTTATAGAAAAAAAAAACCAAAAAAAATGGAAACTGAAAATGTCTGTAAACAGCTCAAAATAAGTCAAATTATTTGGAAAATGTTATGGTGAATAGAAAATGCTAATACATACATTTAGTGCAATTTTCAAGTATCTACAGTCATTCGTTTTTCAATTACAACAAGATAAGAAAATCGTTACATAAAAAATCGAGTGAATATCAAATGTAGTAAAAATATGAATTTCAATCGCTCATAAAAATTAAATTTGAGTTTCTTAGACATTTTTTTTTTTTTGATAAAGGTAAACAAACTTATGAGGAATCTTGTATTAAATTTTCAAATCTTAGATTTAAAAAGAAAATTTTTTATGAATTTCTAACTTGAAATAATTTCCAAATTTTCGTCATTTTTACATATTTTGTCAATATTTGCACTTTAAATGCTTATATATAAAAATTGTGACTGGACTTTTAATTTTTGTCATACACCTTTGAAACAATATACTAGAAGCCTTCTATTAATTTTCCAAGCTGTTTTAACCAACAAATAAAATTTTATTGATATTTATAGAAGAAAAAAACTAAAAAAAATGGAAACTAAAAATTCCGTAAGCAGCTCAAAATAGGACAAAATATTTGGAAAATGTTATGGTGTATAGAAAATGCTAGTATAAACTTTAGCCAAAATTTCATGTACCTAAGGTCATTTGTATAAGTACTGCACTAAAAACCAACAATTTTTCGAAAACAGATTTTGAGTACATATTCCCGTTTTTCTTTAATTTTTCTTTTGTTTTTCAAAGTGATTTTGAAAACTACTTGAAAATTTTTAATTTTGACCCCCCCAAAGTACCAACTAGATTCACTTTCCTATCAGAAAAGATACATTACTGTTAAAGAAAATCGAAACATTTTTACTGTCCTAAAAGGTGATGACAGACACACACAAAAAAAAAAAACACACATCATTGTAAAATCAATACATTCATCGTTTCACTCAGAATCTAAAATAAAATATAATTGCAAAAAAATTTGTCCTCCACTAACAAGTTTATGGGGTATAATATAAATAATGATTTAATTTTATATCACTGTTTCAAATAAATTCCTAATCCTGTAATTAGGTGGTAAGTATATTATTTCCAAGTAGACTTAAATTATAATCATTATTCAATAACTTATAAATTAACTTTAAAATTTGAAATTTAATTAACAAAAAATTGTAATATAATTAAAGTTTTTGTACCTGATTTCTATATGCTGCTTCAGTAGGCTCAATAGCTTCACAAGTTCTATCATCTTCTTCACTGTCTCGTAATCCAGCCAATGCAAGTGTAAGTGGTGAATCTATGATCACAGATTTTGTAACTGGCAGTAGAGCTGCAGGATTATACTCTGTTCTATTCATAGGAGGATCACTTGCAAAAGTCACATGAGCTCTTTCCATTTTTTGACTCATTACTGTAGGGGAAATGTTCTGGTTCATACATGGATTTTTAAATGCATCTGTGTTGCATGAAACATCCCTCAAAGTTTTTCTGTTTACAGATGTGTCGTCTTCATCATAAACTATCTAAAACCAAAGTTTTTAGATAATTAATCTTTTAAACCTAAATTAGGGAGTGTTTAAATACTTTTCTAGGAGCTCGAACACGTGTAGTTGGTAAAGGTACATTGTCAAAAGTACTCTGAGGAGGACAGTGAAACTCTTCTGCATCATTGTCTTCAAACGATTCATGGCGACTTGGTGCGTGTTTTGATAATTGTCGGGAGACAGTTTCGGATGGCACGTTCCATGATTTTGTTTCCAAGTCCTTTTGCTTTTGCATTATTTCATTTTTTAACTTTTCTTGTTGAAGTTGTTTCTAAATGTACATTAATAATTATTAAAGAAACTAAAAACTAATTACTTATAAATATATTCCATACCTGGAGTTGTGCCAAAGTTCGTTTCTCATTTTCTTTCTCAAACTCCATCTTCATTTTTTCTTCCTGTTCCCTTGCCATTCTTTCAATGGCTTCATCTTCCAATTGATCTTTACGTTTTTGTTCTAGTTCCAACCTTCTTTTCTCTTCTATCTGTTTACTTAAATCAAATCTATAAAGTTCTTGTTTTAATCTATTAGTTTCCTTTTTCCTTTCTTCATCAGCTATAAATAATATTAAACACGTAATTATGAAAATAAGCAAAGTTAGCAAATTTACAATATTGACAAATGCAAGTAACTTACATGCACATGATTCAGCTCCATCTATAAAGGTAGATCGTTGTATTGTCGCTTTCTGATTGAATACTAAAATAAAAAAATTAATTTTTAATACCTTGAGTTATAAATAAAAAATTTTTAAAAAATATTTATACAAATCAAATTATCCAGTTTAACTCACCTTCTTTGCTTTCTACTTGGTCAGAACTGTTATTATTTTCCTAAAAAATAAAAAACAAAACATGTTAAGTACAAAGTAAAAACAATAATATGTTAATTGATTTTCTGATGAAATAGTGAAAAAAATAACTTATAAATGTAATAACTCAATTTTAGTTTCTTTAATCAATAATACTTAGTTTTCAATAAAATATTTCAATTTTGTAACAGTATTATAATTATTTTACAATATTTAATTATTTCTATATTCTATTCAAGTTATAAGTTAAGAAAAAGATTAAGTATAAAATAATTTAGTATTATAATTAAAAAAAAATATATTAGAAAATAATACATTAGTTGCAATAATTATATTAGTGAAAATTAATGAATTTCATTTTAGTACATTTTCACCATACTTAAAAATTTATAATAATTTTAATTAAACAAACAACATTGAGAACACATATCGTAAATAAAATAATGTCCGCCAAAAATTGGATTTCAAACAATCCGACCACTATGCAGCGGTAAGGCAATACACATTTATCGACAATCACCCAAATTAAATTTAGGTTATTCTGTATGTACTATTCCTGCAGTGTAGTGAAGATGAGCCTTTGCACACAAGTTGGCTATTAAGTATCTTAACTTGAATAAGGTATATTCGTATATTGGTACAAAATACATTTTACAAATCAAATATAAATTAAATTACTGTATAATAGTATAAATTACAATATTATATTATATTATGATAACCTACTTTATAACTTACTAAGACTAAGGGCCATTCATAGTTGATGCTTCAGAATAAATACTGCTTAAGCTCAAATGACTCAAATGAGATTCATAAACGAGACTTTGGCTTAAGAAAATAAAAAGTATTAGGTACTTCAATTAAAGTTGGTTGAGACCTACCCTAATCATTGATTTTAGTAATTATCTCAATTTTTTTTTTTTTATTATCAAAATATATAGCTTAAGCAATACTTATTCCTAAGCATCTACTACGAATACGGCGCTTAAAGGACATCACAACACTAATTTTTTTTTTTTAATTTTAAGTTTATTGGTGAATTATTGTAGTCCAAATAATGAAAAAATGTTTGGTAAAAATCCGAAGTCAATAAAATGATTATTCAACGAGATAATGAAAGTCGATGAATAGCCGCGAGACATCAAAGAGCCGATGAATGATCAGCCCATGTTAAAGTAGTTTGAATTACACAATGGTTTTTATTACTTATAATATAACAATATTATTTCAGATTTTTTTTCCTTATCCTATATAAGTATATTTATGTGCTTAAAACAATAGTGTGATTTAAAATTTAATATATCTTGTTATAAGTTATAAGTAAGTAAAATTATTGAGTTAGAAACTCGCGTTGTACTGCTGTATAAACCAATTTTTATAAAATTGACTATAATAGTTTTATCTACGATAAGAAATCTAGATAGTATATCAAAACTATAATTACACCAGTGTCATAAACACAAAAAACACTTAAGGTTACATACATTTTTTTTTTTTAATATTATCTTAAACGATTGAAATTGTTGAGTTAATCTAGACATTTTTACACGTAAAATATACGCCCCCGTTCTGACTTTGGCTCTATGACGTCACAAGTATATTTTCAAACGCCTGTATCTCATTGAATAATTAGTGTTTAAGTGTGAGACCCACAACATATTTCTTAGATAATGACATACTTTAAATCTAAGCAAACATGTTTTTAGTGTTGTGATGTCCTGTAATTTTAATAAAATATCCATTTACATTTAAAATCATAAAAATAAAAATCTCATATAATAAGTAATAACTAATAATTAACATTTGTACATCTAAAATTTTCCGAGACTATATTAAAGAAAAATTACATACCATGGCAGTTTTAAATGCTTCTTCACATGAATAACCAGTTAGTTTTGGTAAATCTGAAGTATTCTTATCTTGTTTTACCTAAATTAATGTAATCCAAAATTGAATTTTATGTACAAAAGCTATTATAGAATAGAGTTTAACATGTTCATTACCTTTGATAAGTATTCTACATACTCCTTCCTTTGTAACTCTAACAGTTTTTTTTTCTTATCATCATATTCTCCAATTCCTAAGAAAGGTTGTGAATCCACTTGATTGGCTGGATTAAGCGGTGAATATTCTCCAAATCGTACATTTCTTCTCACCTTAAAACATTGTACATGAATAAAATAATTTTAAACATAAAACCATAGATTAGTTTTTGGCAATATGTAATTTATTTATATGTTAATAAATAATAATAATCACAATTATAATATTACCTTGATACCTGGGGAAATTAAATCGTTTGTGTTGTCCCTATTTATTGGCTTAGCTTTATACTTATTGACTTCCTGAAATCAATAAATAATCACCTTTATTTTAATCATATAGAATGTATCTAATTCAACATCTTACAGTTAAATGCGTTACATTACCAAATAAATATTAAAGTCCCCTATTTTTGCAAGACCTAAAAATCATTTATAACAGTATATTTTAATATTAATGATAGCAATAAGGACTTACATTGTGTGCTTTTATAGGCATTTTGTCTTTTAATAATACTTGATTATGTTTGACATCAATACAATGGTTACTGTTATCCTTTGTAAAGAAACTAGGCGATTGTGTAAATAAGTTCGCCAACCTTTCGATTTCATTCACTCTGTCGCATGATTGATTCTGTTTAGATGAATGGTTTTTTAAAGCTTTAAAGAGAGGTAAATTTTCTTCAATTATATTATCATTTTCTTTCATCAATTGTTGTTGTACCTAAAAAAAAATGAGTTACGGATTATTAAAATTCAGCTTTAACAATATCATATACATGATAAGTTATTAATTAGAACATAATAACTAATAAGAAACTTATAGCTAACACATATTAGGTACTTATACATTTTCAGTATTCCACCGATATGAATTTTGGTAATTTTATACTAAAAATATGACATATTTATTGTCAAAGTGCAAATATGTGCACTATTTTCACTTTATATGTATTTTTTCACACATGAAAGTCTGAAAGTTACCTTAATGACTTTAGATTTCTTAGCTAGCAACCCAGTGTTTTTATCCTTCTCGAGTTTCCTACTTTCTTGTTGAATTATAGTATCCAGTGATTCTATCATGACGGCATTGCTTATTTCACGTGCATTACATTCCATAATTAATCGTTTTAAAATTAATCATGTACTCTTGTACAATAAAACGATAATAATAGTATTAGTTTTCTTTAAAAACTTGAGACACATAAAATTAATAACAATAATACTGCGTCAGACGCGAGGACACGATACTGTACACAGGATTGGGGTGTTCATCTTTTTTCTATGACTGGAGTACTACCACTACAGGATTTAAAATTAATATTTTTGCTAATAAATTACTATTTTAAACCAGTATCAAAAACTTAAACCGTTTTTTGATAAAAAAAAATTTCAAATAATATTGATAAGTGATAACAATTAGAACACTGAACTAAATGATAACCTTAAAACTTTCAAATCAAAAGTAAATTTCATAGATTACAATCATGAACCAAGTTCATGATTACAATAAAATTAAAAATTTTATAATTTAGTAGGTATTAGGGTACAGTGGCGTAACCAGGGGGTTGCTAAGGGGGCTAGAGCCCCCCCAATGACCGTTGTTGACCTTAGAATTTTATCAAGATTAATAAAAAATAAAAAGCGTAAATAAAAACACATTGTATTTATATACCTAGGCACCTAGCCCCAACATACAAAATTCCCGGCTACACCACCGTTAGGCGTTAGGGTAGGTACATTGTACATACTATTAGTTATTACTTGTTGTTATATATTTATTAATAACACAGTAAATATCAGGTAATAGCTTTTTAGCCTTATAAATGTGTATAGAAAAGAGATCGCGAATACTCTCACAAATTTTAATAATTTTTTCAAGATTCCCAAAACCAAAAAATATCTCTAAGCGTACTATTTTCATCAAATTGAATACGTTAAATAAGTTATACATAGGTTAATTATAGAGTATTAATAATGTCTGTCCAATAATAATTTTTTTTATTAATTGTTTCTGCTAATAATTATATGGAAATATGGAATCATTGTAATATTTTGTTTACCCAGTTCCCAGTTTATATGTGTATCTTAGTACGACATTTTAAATTTAATTGTTCTAAAAATTAGTTAACAACCTATTTTTTTTAAGAATTCTGAATCATTAAGCCGGGAGGCTCAAGGCGTATTCCGCAGGGTTTTCAGTCGAATTATAAATGCATTGGTTTATATCGGAGCAGGCAGCACTTTCGTAGGTATAATTTATTTATTTATGCAGTTTAAACTTTAAAGTCAAAAGTATGATCGCACATTCGCACTAAGACAACAGGACGCAATACTGATTACTGACCGGTATATTATTTGATTGGTTCAAGTGACAAATTAATAATTAATTTGCATATTTTCTTTGTTTAGTTTATAACATAATATTATTATACTATGTTTAGTTAGTAATATGCATTATTCAGTTATCGCTACTCGCTAGTGACCTCGGACTTTGGCTATCAAGTATCGACATGTTCATACGTGTACAAGGTACGCCTTACGCAAGTGTTTGCGCTTGCCACTCTTATCGTCTATCGACGTTATTATTTTAATCGTTTTAATACAATAATACGTTTTCGTTGTACTCTTACGACTTTATAATATATTAATACTTCATAATTTATAACTTATAAGTAATGAATTATGACTTATGACTAATGAATTATAATTTTTTTAATTCGTTATTAAGTTTTACGATTGGTCGTCATATACTCGCTTACATAATATTGGCATATTTCTATCGCCTATTTGCATTTACCTCTCGTTAGTGGCGTATCCAAAATTTTTTTTAAGGCGGGTGTGGCTTTACAATCAATGATTTTTAACACTTTAAATTTTAATATTATAAAATACTATAAAAAGATGGGTTAACATTTTTTCTAATAATAATTGATGGGTATGATTTTGATATAAGGATTTGTTTGCAAATGTATAATATCTAAATATCTTCTACAATTCACCTATAATTATTTTGATTCAAAATGTTGACGTTTTGTAATGGGTAGATTCTATGGTAAGATTATTTTTTTTGCATATTTTGCATACTTAAGTAAAAATGACTATCAATTGCATATTTATATGTAATGCAAACATAAAAGTTTCATTTTTTATAAATAGTTGATGATTTTTTTTTTTATTTTTAGCTCTGATTCACCAAATGTATTTATTTTTTCACATTTCATTTCCCGTTCTGATCATCGACGAGGCAAGGCGAGTGTACTGCCGGTTGTATATAGATGAAATGAGTATTTTCATAAAACATTTCAAACGAAAGCTAAAGAAAAAAATTGTAAAATATATTTTTATTTTGTTTTGGTTTTGAGAAGGGGGTGTGGCTGGGGAAATAGACCTTAATCCTAGTTAAGTTAACGTAAAAGATTAATTCACATAAAAACATTTTAATAGTGTAAATATATGAATTTGATCTAGTGAATATTTACTGGGGGGTAAAATTTAACTGGGTCAAAATACACGGTTTCACCGGTCCTGAAATATTAATCTATGCTACGTGCCTACTGCCTACTTGACAATTGCAAAAAAATTCTAATTTAAAAATATAAGATCACATTTTGTAACTTCATATTGGTACTTGATCCAAAATTAATAAGTATCACATTTTCCATATTCTATTAATTTTTTAATTAAATTATAATTATAATTTATTAATTTATTTAATTAAACAGTATACTGAAAATGTCAATTGTATTTTTTATCAACATAAATATATTCATTATAAATAAATACATCTAATATATTTTGTAATTTTATTAAGATATAATAAGTTTATTTTTGAATTTTTGAGAGCATAAGTATTTGCATATTTAATAATAATTGTTGTTTAACAAAAAATTGTGAATAATAGTATAATCTAAGTATTGTCAATATAGAATATCGGGGAATGTGGTGGGTTGTATATTGGTATATTATACTGATATACCTATAGGTAGTGATTAAGTGATGTATAAATGTATCCACATGAATATGACATCAAATTAAAATAATTGCTGAATATTTAAGTATTCATTCAAATGTTAATCACCTTCGATATTGATTTTATAATTTATAAATAATTATATTATTACGTTGTCAATGTGACATTCAAATCCCTCCCCCCGCATATAGTTATGAAACTGCATGGAGGCATGGTGCATCACAATATTCGTAACTGTATATTGCATATTTGCATGGATCATTCACGTTGGATCGTGAGTCGGGACGACCGGTCATTAACTGAGTGTTTTTAATTAAATGCCCCCCCCCCCGTTCAATAGATAATTCAAGGACTATATCCTAATTGCGTGCCAAAACTCGAATAAATTATAGGGTTGAATTGCGTGCACATACCACATACGTACTATACAATTTCATCAAGATAATATTATAATATGATAAAGTGAATAAAGTAAAACCCGGGATATATCATAATTACGAATGACGAAAGCCGCACGCGACTCTTACGCACTAAAAATAAACCTCTCACGCAGTTCGGTTCACTGTTGTCATGATTGTTAAGCCGCTGAGCCATTTGGAAGCGACAGATTCAAGAATGTTTATTGTCGACCACGTGTCCACGTTATTACAAAACGTCGAGTCGTCATTAAAATAAATCATTATAATATTTATATTATGAGCTTTACAAGTGGTACGACCTAGCCCGGATTAAAGGGGGGGGGGGTGGAGTGACTCGGGCACACAACGGATATCAAACAATAGTGGTCCCCTGCAGGAGCCAAACAAATTGTATTTACGTTGTTTTTGTACGAAAAGTTGTACAGTATAAGTCGTCAGTTGAAGACAATGTATCTACTCATATAACTTGCCTTTTGCCAGTTGGCACTGCTGTCTAAAGGCGCGTCCACACTATGCCATATGGCTTTGCCAAATGGCATTGCCAAGGGTGATGTGGACTTTTTGTTGGCACAAGCCATTTGGCAAAGTTTTGCCAACTGGCATGCCAAGCCGTATCCGTCGACTGTCGGTCAGGATCAAAGAAAGCCAAATGGCAAAATGAATATATGGCATATATCGGCATAGTGTGGACGCGCCTTAACTTTATAATAGTGGGGAAAGCTTAAGTTTTTATGTTAGTGTTTTGATTTACAATATAATAGTATAATATATAAAATATTGAAAACATACCAATATTATTAATGTTATAATATCCAAATCTTTTTTTCTCTCTGAAATATATTTATTTGTGGAGCACTAATATTTTGATTATGTCTATGGGGTCCCTAAAATTGTTTGACCCCGGGCCCAAAATGATCTTCATCCGGGTTTGGGGACGACGACCCCCAAGCGAACGTACTTTGGTGCATAATAAATAATAATAACACAACTCGTTCCTGTGAAGTGTGTACTTGCGGCGATGAGGTCATTGCACCATGACTGTATTTTTATAATAAATTACACACTATATGCTGATGGCGAACACGTCATGTACATACTACATAAATATAAAACATCTTGGCGACCACGACCACAACAATAATTTACATATTATTATTATTATTATTTATTTCTATGACGACGTACGTAATATAAAGTAATTCTTTTGTCACTTCAAGAATTTGATTATTTCTATCTAAAATGTCAAATTATCTAAAAAATAAAATGTTTTCTAATATACAAACATTAGCCATCCAATACTAAAACGCTTCAAGCGTTTCAATCCATCTGCTTACGACTAGAAAAGTCTCCTCCTTGGTGTTTCACAAACAAAAATCTTCAAAAAGATATAACAATTCCTACACTTAATCAATTAGCAAAATTATATTACTTTAAATTTCATACTAAATAAATCTCACAGTAAACCATTAATCAAACAACTATCCTCCAGGTACCTACCTAAAAAGGAATGACGGATATTTCCCCCCCCCCATTTTTTCAAAAGTTTACTATTTAATATGAAATTATAGTTTTGCCTATTTCTCATATTTTCATAAATATGTAAATTAAATTAAAGATATATATTTTTGATCAACTAAACTACTTGAATCAAATTCAAAAGCAATTACTAAATTGTTAAATATACAAACTGGTACAGTTTCAAAAAATAAAAATAAATATGAACAAAGGCTAAACAATATTTTTAACAAAATGAATAATTTTTACCTTGGAATTTTTAGCTATTTTTAGCTATTTTTATTAATTATATTTTATACTTATTTTTTTTAAATTTTAATTGTTTCAAGTATTTGAGTGAATCAAACATTCAAACATATACATTTATAATCTATTATATTTATGAAAATAATAAAATATTTATATATTTTATTTAAGTATCTAGATGAAGATAATAGATAAATGAAAAATGTATAACTGTCTTTTTTAAATGTGTACTTGAAATATAACCAGAATACATGCCAAAATCTTCGTTTTTTTTTTTTTTAATAAGCGTAAGTTTTCAAATTATATTTTTCTATTCATTATTTGTGAACTCAAATTTCACTGATAATATTATCGAAAGTTAATTCGATATTATGACGTATTATTTCATATTTGAATAAGTGGTTAGAAAATGTAGAATGCAACGATACAGTCGCCACTCACCGCGTTCAACGTTAAAAACACTTAAACCAGTGTACATTCGATTAGGGACGGTTTCTAAATAATTCGAAATCTTAGTACGAATTGTACTTACATAGTTACATGCTATACAGTTTTACATGTTATTCATATAGATTTAGACGAAAAACCAAATCAATTTACTCGCAGTCGCGAAACAAAGTAAAATCGCCGTACATTCGTACTCGGTGGCAATGTGTAGTGAGTCAACCGAAATATTACGTAATACGTACCTATATAATATTATGAATTACGAACAACCAGCGAAATACTTTGTACACATGCAAAGTGCAAATTAATTTTACCGACGTCATAGACCATAATAGTCCATATAGAGAAATCGAAATAAAATATCAAACACGTTAATTCCACACGACTTCATAATATAATATAATGTATATATATTATATATAAAAACGAGTGCCCTAGTCAGTGACCTAACTATAATATTTTATCGCGTGTCACACCACAATATTGTGGACAACGAAATTATCATAATAATCAGTGGCCTAGGTTCGATCACATTTTAAAAATGTGACTGACGTGAAAAAACTAATCCTAAACTTTCAGTTTTTATAAAGACGAGTCTGGAGCCTTGGAATATAATAATGTATACCTACTCTTGTACACTGTACACGCCATCAACGCAATATTGGTAAGTTCAAAGTTCGACGCCACTGAAATATTGAATAATCGTCAATTCGACGTTTTACTTTGGAAATATTTATAAAAGCAAAAATTACAAAAATGATAATATACGTGCGATATACACGGTAGCATAACTGGGTAAATAACAAGGGGAAATGGGCAAAACAATTTATTCACCAAAATAATCATAACCCATAGGTATAATTACTGTTAGTTTTCACCATAGATAATACATAAAGATTGTATTATCTATGGTTCTTAAACAAGTCTAAATAGATAGCTAAGAACAATAGATAGGTACCTCCTACTCATTTTGCAGAAACAAAGAATGAAAGAATTCATAAAAAAGGTGCTATACAAAAGTTAGGTTGTTTTAAAAAAATAATGTGATGACAATCCTGTACCTAATCATAATTCATGAAATATTGGGTTTTTTTCGTTACACAGATAATGACGTCGGCAATATTATTATACAAGAGAAAAGTGAAATAAATGTATTGTATGCAATAGGTGATAGGAAAAATAAATATTTTGTTAACAAGTGTGTGAAATGTATCGCATGTATGCTTTCTTTATTTTATATGATTAAAAGTTTTTTACTGTTGGCAATTTTTTTTAGGGGGGAAGGGGGTTTGTACTGGGTTATGAATATAATCTTTTCATATTTTTCGGCAGCAGCGTATAAAGAACTAAGAACTAAGAGGTGCCTATACAACTAAGTAGGTTAGACATTTGAAGAGGTAAATAAATAGGTACGTATTACGTGATAATAAATTAATAATTTAACGTCGTTTTCGCAACACAATATTGATTAATATAATTAATTTTCATAATAATATGATTGCGAGTTGCGCAGTATTAATTTATAATGATCAAAAAAAGTGCAGTAATCTAAATATTTAATGCAGTAATGCACCAAATACTGATGCCAGTAAATAATCCACGAGTCGAGAATCGCGTGCGGTCGAGGTCGTATGAAACGAGCAAAAACATTCTAAAAACAACAAGCAAACAAGCAATAACAATTTACTGCGTAGAAAATTCTAGAAATTTCTTTGTCCGACTAGTGTTGACACGACAGTGGTAGGGGTATCATGTGACCGCGGTAGGGGTACGGAACTGTACGCGGTCGCCGACTTTTCCATGATATCCACCCTCCGCCAACCTATGCACGTACAGCTGTGAAAACGTGGAAGACCGCGGTTGGTCGACAGTTTTACTGCGCAACAACCTCGTTTCCCTTTCCCGACGAAAGCCATTTTGGAGATCTGGACGCGTCGTTTGTTCAATAGCCTTTTGTACGCCGCAGTCTGAACACTTGTTTGCTCCGAAGATCGATCCAAATCGTTTAACAGTATAACATAGCTAGAAGACCATTTGTATTCGATTCGACTTATTATTTTTAAACGTAAGTATATTTTGGTTTTCTTTTTAAAACATTCAAATGGTTTTGTTTGTGATTCGTTTTGCTCGTCCGCGATGTCGTGAAACCGTTGACGACGACCAACAAAGTAACAAATATGTCCGACGCCGAGCGTATGACGCTCATCGTTGTCCTAAATATGGCGGCACTTGTGTTGCATTTGTAGCGATTGATTTTCGACGTTTTTCCATTTTCCGTACCTAGTTCTCTGTGTTTGCCTTTTCCTATCGTTAGGACTTGCCGAGCTGAAGTATCGGGTCGAAGGGCCCTTTGTTCATCGACCGCGCCCAAGCTAATGACGCCATATTTGTTTTTTTTTTCAATCGAACTACCTATTTTTATTACGTTTGGTTTTTCCCTTTCGTGCCGCCCGACTTGATATTGATTTGATATTCGCATTCTGTCTGTTATTCCTAATTATTAAAATTACTCTAATACAAAAATTGTTTAGTTTATTTATGATTACTTAAGCGGTCCCTACACGATCAATAATATTGCACTATACATTTCCAACCCTGTTTGGTTTCTTCAATATATATATATACTAGACTGTCTATAATATTGCACAATATCCAATTATTGTGCAATATTATCGATCTTGTAGGTGCCGCTTTTACGCATAATTATTATTTATTATGAATTTATAATAATATAAATTTATTGTGTTGTAACATATGTTATTGTAGAGAAGTACATTGACTATAATATGAATAGTTCACTTTTTTTCTGATTAACAATTAATTGCCTAGGTGATGTATGTTTTATTTAATGTTTGGAATAATAGTCGATTTGTTAATTAATTTTATTTTATGCAACAAAATCACAGTTTTTTTTACATTTTAAATAAATTATACTTTTTACTCCTGAGCCAAACCAAAACTGTTCTACACGAGGTAATTACTTTGTATCGACTGCGGTTACTTAAAATAAATCATGATAATAATATTAAGTTGAGATGATGTTACCACACATCTGTCATCTATTTTTGCCTTAAAGATGTGTAACATCATAATAATTTTATTGGAGCATTTCGTTATTTCATAATGTCAGTTAATGGAGTGAATTGACTGATACCCAAAATTAATGATGAATCATTTGGTGTGCTTTATATTGGTTTTTATGTTTTAATTTTTAGCCAAAATAGATAGGTATAATTTTAAAAACAATTTTTAACACATAATAATTTATCTTTCGGAAATCTAAATTCAAACAAAATATTGATGTTGTTTAAATTTGATAATATATCATGTTGGCACACTTTTAATTTTCGATTTTTGCTTAAAATTAATAGAAATTCTTTTGTTTTTAAATTAATACCTACTGTTATTACTAATTAGTACTTACAATCTTAATAGATTAAATGGATTTAAATCATTTAACATTATCATTTTTACTTATTAATTCATCTTTATTTTTAAATGTATATTATGCTCTTGACATAGTTTCATGTATTTGTATTCACAAATTCATATTGTATAATATTATAATATGCATATTTTCAATGAGTAGGTATTATCGAAGTTAGTATTTTTCGTATTCAGAAGTTAATATGTACATAACAAAAACTATTAAATTATAAATTCCAATAATTTTGATTTACATAAAGTAATTCATTTGTTAAGTTTATAATTACTTAATTTTTGCATTTGGTTTACAGATTCAACATGCAGATCTTCGTCAAAACTTTGACTGGAAAGACCATTACATTGGAGGTGGAATCATCTGATTCTATCGAAAATGTTAAGGCAAAAATTCAAGACAAGGAGGGCATCCCTCCAGACCAGCAACGTTTGATCTTTGCCGGAAAACAACTCGAAGATGGACGTACCCTTTCCGACTACAACATTCAAAAAGAATCTACCCTTCACTTGGTGTTGCGACTCCGAGGTGGTATGCAAATCTTCGTAAAGACCCTCACTGGAAAGACCATTACACTGGAGGTGGAATCATCTGATTCTATCGAAAATGTCAAGGCAAAAATCCAAGACAAGGAGGGCATCCCACCAGACCAGCAACGTTTGATCTTTGCCGGAAAACAACTCGAAGATGGACGTACACTTTCCGACTACAACATTCAAAAAGAATCTACCCTTCACTTGGTGTTGCGACTCCGAGGTGGTATGCAAATCTTCGTAAAGACCCTTACTGGAAAGACCATTACATTGGAGGTAGAATCATCAGATTCTATCGAAAATGTCAAGGCAAAAATCCAAGACAAGGAGGGCATCCCACCAGACCAGCAACGTTTGATCTTTGCCGGAAAACAACTCGAAGATGGACGTACACTTTCCGACTACAACATTCAAAAAGAATCTACCCTTCACTTGGTGTTGCGACTCCGAGGTGGTATGCAAATTTTCGTAAAGACCCTCACTGGAAAGACCATTACACTGGAGGTGGAATCATCTGATTCTATTGAAAATGTCAAGGCAAAAATCCAAGACAAGGAGGGCATTCCACCAGACCAGCAACGTTTGATCTTTGCTGGAAAACAACTCGAAGATGGACGTACCCTTTCCGATTACAACATTCAAAAAGAATCTACCCTTCACTTGGTGTTGCGACTCCGAGGTGGTATGCAAATCTTCGTAAAGACCCTCACTGGAAAGACCATTACACTGGAGGTGGAATCATCTGATTCTATTGAAAATGTCAAGGCCAAGATCCAAGACAAGGAGGGCATTCCACCAGACCAGCAACGTTTGATCTTTGCCGGAAAACAGCTCGAAGATGGACGTACACTTTCTGACTACAACATTCAAAAAGAATCTACCCTTCACTTGGTGTTGCGTCTTCGTGGTGGTATGCAAATTTTTGTAAAGACACTGACTGGAAAGACCATTACATTGGAGGTAGAATCATCTGATTCTATTGAAAATGTCAAGGCCAAGATTCAAGACAAGGAGGGCATCCCACCAGACCAGCAACGTTTGATCTTTGCCGGAAAACAACTCGAAGATGGACGTACCCTTTCTGATTACAACATTCAAAAGGAATCCACCCTTCACTTGGTGTTGCGTCTTCGTGGTGGAATGCAAATTTTTGTAAAGACACTGACTGGAAAGACCATTACATTGGAGGTAGAATCATCTGATTCTATTGAAAATGTCAAGGCCAAGATCCAAGACAAGGAGGGCATCCCACCAGACCAGCAACGTTTGATCTTTGCCGGAAAACAACTCGAAGATGGACGTACCCTTTCCGACTACAACATTCAAAAGGAATCCACCCTTCACTTGGTGTTGCGTCTTCGTGGCGGAGCACAATAATTTTAACTCGATTTATTATTTCTACTTTGTCCAGAATGTGATCCAAAAATTGAATTTCAAAATTTAAAATATTCCCAATTTTGCTTAGCATTTTTCTTTTTTTTTATCTCAGTTTTCATTACTATTCTAAAACAACATTCATATTGAAAGACAACAAATAAACATAATTTTACTATTCAATTATTTGTTTTTATTTTTCCTCACATCTTACCTGGTATTTTGTAATCTGTTGTGTGACACTTTGCTGTAGTAGTGTTCAATTATTTGTGATTACTTGTTCCATATAACTTTTTTACCTTTGTCTAATACCAACGTGGTTAGCCAAATCAATACATTTGTAACCAAATATTGAAAATATGTATATGTTATGGTAATGAGATGTGTTAAATCCAATGTTATAGGAATAATGGTACTGATATATTAAGTATCAATGAAATATTTCATCTTGCAATGCTATATTTCTTGACATTTTATTAAATAGTTTAAATGCAAGTTTTTCAGTTCCCTGCGTTTTGTGTAGCATGCCATAATAGTTTGACAGTTTTGGAAATGTTTTATATTTATAGTTCAAACAAATACTAATCACAATTCAAAATTATTCAATGTATATAATATTCGCTACCAGTATAATTATATTTTGTAAAAAAGTAAAATAAGCGACTGCTCTGAGTTGTTAAAATTAAATATTGTACAGCTCTATAATTTGGTAAATTCATATTCTTTAAATTTTCTATTCATATAAATATATTAACAGCATAGAAAAATTTTCATTTACTCGTACAGCATATTATGCCTTTTGTATACATTGCCTTTTTAGTTTTTTTGCCTGGTGCTGTGGGTTTACATTTGTAACTATGAATCACAAGCAGATAGTCCAATACCCAAGTATTCAATAGTTTTAAATAGGACCTGATCAATATTTTAACTATTAGTATTATAATTTATTATTATTTCTTGAGCACATAGGGGATCTATATTCTATGATATATAATAAATGCAAACATAAATTTTTTACCATATATTTTGTTCAACCTTAAGGGAAAATTGTTTTTTACTTTCAGTTACTGTTTTTATTAACTAATTAGGACAACACTATTCTGAACTATAAAGTCATATCAACATAACTTAATTTTTATTTTACAATTAATAATTATATACTTTTACTTAATAGTAAATAAATCAATACTATATACTTATACTACCTACCTATAATGCACTAAATGTTAATTTTGTGATTATCTACATTTTATTTAGATATTTAACCCAACCTGTTTGATATGGTGACCCACTATTAGTTGGACTCCTCTACACCTACCTATAAAATAAATGTTAGTTGCATTGTTATATTGTAATGCATAGGCGTTTCTCTGGGAGAGGCAGGGTCGGCAAATGCCTAATTTTTTGTAGAACTGGAAAACTAAGTAGAATATAAAAATTTTTAAAGTTAAAAATAATAATTTATATTTTGGTTATGTACCTACCAAATGTTTTAAAATCAAAATTCCATTAAAGTTCTAAAATTAAAAAAACATTTTTTAATTTCCAAATATTTCCCCTATTTTTTCTTGTACCAGAAAAATTAATTTTATACTATGCAGTATGTATTCATCTAGTTAGTGTAATGACTGCTAAATAAGTTTATCTATTCCTCGCATGTTGTTTGATTCAAAATTTTTATAAAACTATTTAGTTTTAAGTAAATCAGTTATTTAACACAATAGCTCCTGCTCTTGCTTATTTACAATTTTCATTGTTAATTTAATTATTTTTTATTAAATTAAAACTTTGTTTAAGAAGCAGAATGATTGAGCATGTATTTACTTGTTCGCAGTGTTTGATAGTAATGTTAAGAAAGTGACACGTAAATATGTTTATAACACATTATAATATATAGCATTTTTCCAAGTAAAAAAATTGGTAATAAAAATTATTTTTGATTACAATTTTGTGTTACTGTTTTGTGGACAAGTGGGTACCGCTCTGCTGAACAGTAGTTATCGAGCATGTCGCTGTGATGCTGTAATGGAAGTGTTATAATTTGTTGAATTCAATGATAAATCATTGCAAACAAAATGATTTTGAGCGGAGTTGTTGTGTCATCCTAGCATACATGTATAAATAATCAAATTTAATATTTAAAAAAATGTATAAAAATTGAAAATATCTCATGGCTATAAATAGCAAAACTTTTTTTTTAAGGAATAACAATTCATGGAGAATCTTCTATTAAAATGTCTAATGTTTGCTATAAAAAGAAAAACTTATACATTTCTAACTGAAAATAATTTACAAAATTTGAAAAATTTCTCATGGTTATAAATTGCTCAAAAAATTAAAATAGTTTAAACATTTTATCATGTATGGAAAATGGTCATACTAAAATTAAGTGAAAAATTCAAGTGTGTGGTTATATTACGATATAATATGCACATCAAATAAATTAAATGTTGTAAATTGTTTATGTTGGCTCTACATTATAATATATATTTTCATCAAAAAATAAGATTATAACATCAAAAATAATATTTTATTATAAGTAATGGTGTTTTTTGTAATAATAATAATTTTCTTTTATTGATTCATGAAAGTGGAATCGACCTGAAGAAGCCCATGTGGTAACTCACAATATGTATGTATAGATATTTTGTTCAGATTCAGTGTATAACTTCTAAACAATATTCAAATATTAATTTGTTTGCACTGAGTAGTCACTACTCACTAGTTAGTACTCATGGGACAATTACAGCAGACATGACTAACAACTTTTAGGGAAAAATACTAAAAAGTCACTCTAAAAGTTTTGTTTGTGCAATTAAGTATTGAAAATTAGAAATATACCAATAATTTTGGAGTGGTCAATATTTTTCAGATTTTCATTACATATTTACTTTGAACCAGCAAATCTAAGTTTATTGTTTTGAAAATATTAATTGTCAAAGTTTGTATTTTAGGAATACCTGTTGATACAAAAATTTATAAATATAACAGACTGTAATGTTTGAGTAGATATATAATATTATTTTTACTAAAAACATCAAGTCGGATAGTTCTTAATTAGGTTTACATAATATTATTATAACTAATAACATAAAAAATAAAAACAATTTACAAGTTACAAATTATATAATATATAATATATATTACTTTAGTCGTTTTTCTTTTTATTGAACATACATTTTAACAATAAACTGAAAAAAATACTTTGCTAAGTTTTACATGAATTCAGTTTAAAAAAAAATAAAGAAGGTAATATATTTATATAATATTAATGGCTGAAAAATAAACGTAAAATTCAATAATAGTCTATTGGGGTATTATAAATAAAAATTACATTTAGAAACTGTTTTTACATAAAAAAAAGTAAAAAGTAATTAAAAATAATAATAAAAATAAAACAATTATTATTATGAATAGCGACAATTAAAAATGTTAGTTATATAAAATAATATCGCTATTTAGTTTACAAAATCAATGATTAACATGTTCGTTTAGTTTAGGCATTTATAGAGCTCTTCCTTGTTACTATTAATTTTAATAATTAAAAAAAAAAAATTAATGATAAAATAAAATAAACTTATAAGATGGCTTTGTCTTTCCATGCACAAACATTGTCATACACGCATACACATACTACTACGGATTATTAAATCATTGGAAAACATAATGATTTTTTTTTGGGCCAATTATAATCTATGTTACGAATTATTAACAACGATAACAACTACAGACCTCAAAACTTAATAAATCACTGATATAGAACAATATTTAGAGAAATTAAAAAACCCACAAATCAATAATCACAGTAAAACAAAATTACTGAGTATGCAAAAAAATAATTCACTTGCAACAATTAATTATGGAAACAATTAAAATATATGTGTTTATTAAATTATACTTTTTTGAGATCAGGGAGGTTGATGGATAATAATTAATCTTGTGTGTGTAAGACACAATTTATGCTCAGTCGTTTCTACGCAGTCTCAGGAGAATGATTTACATATTGCATAAAAAGACACTGCTTCCCTTAAACCCCCACCCACCCCAGTGGTTGCTGTACGGTTTATTAAAAAACAACCATTGGTCAACAACAACAACATCATCATCAAAAGTAAATCAAATAATAATATTGTAAAAACGATATAATGTTGGTTTAAAAATTTTGTAAAAAAAAAAATATTCAAAAATATTGAAACAATACAATTTACACAACATAATTCTTGGGTTAAAAGCAGAGTGGTACAATGGGTTGTACCGGATAGATTTCTAAAAAAAAAAAAAAATATAAATTTATATATAAGAGACGGTAAAAAAAAATCAGACAGTTCTTGGCAATACACCCATTACAATAGCATCAACTGTATATTAATTATTATGCTCATCTCGTCACTAATTGTTTAGAGTTACTGGCTAAACGCGTTGTTTCATTACCGAGATACATTCGGACGGTTTTTCTTCAAGACAAAGCGATCTCAAGTCGTTTTTTATATTTATATAATTAATACATCAAAAGATTTGTATTATTATTAATGTACATTAAACGTGATAATAGCAATACATATTAAAATGTGTTCATAGGTAACACGATAAGAGCTATTATTATTATTATTATTATTATTATTATTATATATTCATGAAGACGAAAAGGTATTAGAAAGAAAGGATTTATTAAATTATTGTAGATGATGGATATTTATCTTAGTAGTATGTCTAGACGTGTCTAAATAATAATTATAATAATAATAATTGTTATTGAACGTTTTACTTTTTTTTCAGTTTTTCTTTTTAACTACTTAATAATTTAGATAAAAATAATAAAATAACAATAAAAGTAGCACTCGTGTTTAATACTTCAATCTACCGCCAAGTATACAATACCCACAACAACGCAACAACAATCGCAGCCACTTCTAGTGATTATTAAGACAGTAGATCTGAAAAAATAAAAATTTCATCAGTTAACTATTGTTATAATAATAATAATAAGGAAAAAAATGGAGACTTAAGAGTATGTCACACCTGCATGGGTGCCTATATGTGTTGTCTACGTCTTATAAACATACCAAATTTAAGTTTAGTAGAACCAATTTTGTGTTGTTAGCTTTAATATTAAAGTAAATTCTCATATGATCAAATTAAAGGTTAGAATTTAAAAGAAAATAATCGTTTTTTACAATATTTTAATTTTTTAGCGAGTTATCAGTATGTCAATTATAAAAATACTCATACTCACTTAAAAATTGCAACATTTTAAATACCAATGAGGAAACAGATAAAGTTATCACCATTAAGTTTAATCATATATCAAATTCACACTAATATTAAAGCTAACAACAAAAAATTAATTTTGCTAAATGTTAATTTGATTTGTTGTACAATTTTAAGACAGTTACAACACATCCTTTTAAGAGATTTCCATAATCTGTTGCTACTTAATTTTCTATTAGCACCTTCAATTATTTGAAGTACACTATATTAAAGAAGGGTTTTAAAAACTAAATTGGTCAAAAAATGAAACATTTGATCTTAGGAGAAAACTAAGAAATATTGTTCCTTTAGTCACAAAAGAAAATGTAGTGATGTCAATTTTAACAATTTTATATGTCTTGACGATAAATGTTTGACGTCCCATTTCAACCCCCAATTAATATTGCTTACAATTAAATTTGTATAGAATTAATTTATTTTGAAGACTGAGAAGCAAATGTATTGCTAACCATTAACTACAAATTCAATGTACTGAACTAACCAATAAGTTAAAAAATATATTAAATAAAATAATAGATATTATTGGAATAAGGTGTTAATTAAATAGAATTAACGATATATATATTTTTTATTTAAATTGACTATCATTGGGGTTTTAAAAAAAATAATAAGTTATTTTTCTTTTGGGGTAGGAATTTATAAAATTTTTTAATAAAACAGGACATTTATATTGTTTTTTAAACATTGTCAAGACATTTCAATAAGAAAGTGTATGATAATATTCAACATAAAACAGAAAAGTAGTATAAAGCCCTTAAGAGGACGCGATACCTGCTTGTGCTGTCTCCGTCTTACAAGTGCGAACATAGCAAATTTTACGCTCAGCAGAACACGTGTAGCTCTGTTGGTTTAAAAGTTAGAGCAAATTGACCTCTAATAAAATCTAAAGGTAAGATTTTTATCTAGGCAACTTCATGGGCTTTTTATTATATTTTAATTTTAACACGAGTTATGAGTATTTTAAAATTGTAAATTGCTTGTACATCTTAAAATTCTCATAACTCGCTTATAATTAAAACATATTAAAAAGCCATGAGGTTGCCCAGAAAATAATCTTACCTTTAGATTTTATAAGAGGTCAGTTTGCTCTAATTTTTAAATTAATGGAGCTACAAATGTTCTGCTGAGCGTAAAATTTGTTATGTTACACAGTTGTAAGACGGAGAGAACACATGAGGGTATCAAGTCCTCTTAATGTTTGGACAGGTAGACAGGATTACAGGGAGGACTTGTTGTCTATTACAATTTTATTTACCATTGACAATTTGTTGTTCTGATCTATTAGTTTCTTGGTACGCGGGAAAGTCCGCGGTGTTGCCTTGAATGCACTTGCTCATGCCGATATCAATGATTTGTTGCGTTGACAGAGCGTCAGACGGAATGGGTTCCAACGATAAATCTAGCAGATTGTTGGTCACGTTGTTTAATTGTCTGAAGGTAAAAAAAAAAAAAAAAAATGTTAAAATATATCAAAAAACTAATTCTTTAAACTGAATAACACTGTGAATTTAGCATAGTATTTTCACTTAAATGTTGATGCGCAAAATATCAATAATTTAAAAAAAAAAAAAAATATTTGTAAGTTTTCAAAGTTTTTTATAAGAATATAAGTACTCCATCAATACCACCTCTAACCACTTCACTTTTCTTATCAAAACCTTGAAAGTTTAAACGCTTTAATAAAAACAAATTATAACTAGATTTAATTTAAAAACGAAAAAATTCGTCCAAAATAATTAATGTCATATTATTGGGTGAACGTCAGAAATCGATTAAACGGCGAGGTTAGGTAGATACAGCATTGTATACGTACACTTCCGAGCTGAAAACGGTGCCACCGTTGGCCGTCGGAAGGCAGCCGTTGCTTTGATGCACCGCCGAGTTGTCCGCACGGCCGTTTTGTTTGGAACCGGAAGTTTCTACCGGAAGCAATCCGTTGGACTGCGTATCGCCGGGCGGTGATGTTGGCGACGAGGATGCTGATGACGTCGTCGATGACGACGAATGAACCCTCTCGGCGGTCAGCATCGCTTCGGTCTCGGATACCGGTCCTTGACTAGTCGTCATCGGGTCAGACGACGGTTTTTCCGTTTTATTCTCGCCGGCTTGTTGCTCGGCAGATTCAGTCTCTTCCTGGAAAACAATAATAATAATTTTAAAAAAACTGACGACACAAAGCGGCCATCTGATCACTCTCGGGTCAGACCTATGGCATTAAGAAGGATGTATACGTACTTTAGTCGACGCGTTTCCTTTGCCTTGGTTCCTAGTCCGTAGCATGATGGCTTCAACTCGTTTACGTCTAAGCTGCCTGTCTTCTTCCTCCTTTTTCAATTTGATTTCCATCTCTTGTCTCAGCCTGTGGGAAAAGTTTGGTTTAAGTATTAGTACAATACCTAATATAGGTGTACCTGGCATATTAAATAATGCTGGATGATTATATTTAAAGGGGTAAACACTCATTTTATCGAAAATCAATAACATTTTAGATACTTTTGACTTTTGAGATACTTTAGATAAGTAAAAATCGTATTTTTATCAAAAAGTTAATTATTATTTAAATTTAGGATTAGTGGACCAACATAAAATCCATGCAAAAGGGAGGTACTCCAAATCAATGCTGATAACTTAACTAATTTAAGTATTAAATATTTATGTTATATAAATATAAAATATTATAATTTATAAGTTAACTACTCATTTTGAATTTTTGATTTTTTATAAAATGTAGATACAATTTTTATGTTAAGGTTAAAAAGCTTAAAAACTTAATACAAGATTCTCCAATATTGTTATTAGTGGAATTAAAAGAAACAAAACACAATAATAATTTATGAGCATTGAAAGTTAGAATTTTCAAACTATTTTTATATAGGTATGAAACCTGTATATATAGGTATTTTCTTAGGTATGACACCTAAGAAAATTAAATACGAGGTTCTTCATACATTTTTATTAAAACTATTTAAAAATAATAAAGTTATATACCTAATATTATGCACAGTTTTATTTATAAGTATTTTTTTTTTTTTTTTGAAGTAGGGTCATTGGACCCCCTCCCCTTCTATCGAGACGTCCCGTCTTGTATAGTTGTATACTTGTACCCCCCGCATTACCTATTGTATAAATTATTACAGATTGAATATATTCTTATTTTCTAATAAAAAAAAGTATGTATTTTAATATTCATTTTTGACAAAACTAGATACTTATAGATATTTAGTTTTTATCTATTTTTTTTTCAAAATTGTTGATTTGAAATAATTCTTTAATCTATAAAAACGAAGTCAAAAAACGATGAAACTTTAAAGTACAATATTATTGTTTATCTACCTATACAATGACGATGATGTATATACGTATATTATGACAGAAAAAAAATTATATCACACCGATATATTAATTGGTTTATCATTTGATTTTAGATCCTATATATAATATAGATTATAGGCTATTCCTTAACACTTTAATATCATATTATACCAAACGTATTTTGAAAACAACAATATTTTCGTCGATGTACCTCGAAACCATATTTGTTCTACATGAAACATAATACGAATAGTTCTTGGATATTATTTTTTTAGTACCTTTAAACTGGTTACTTTTTTGTACAAATAAAAATTTTTTTTCAGAAATCTCATAGCATGCCTCTAACAGGTGGTAAAATGCTTTAATAATTTATATTTATAAATAAAGGTGTTTTAGCTCTAATGACGTAACCAATTGAACACATTTTGCTAAGTTACGTGGGAGAGACAGAGATATACCAAACCTTATATGGACATAATATGGGCATTATAACGTACCATCATTGGCGCTTAGCCAGTTGACTTCAATATAATAATATTATAATACCTATACATGTTTACAAGAAATTAAATTATTTTTCAAATTCTCAAATTCATAAAATACCATTTTTTTTATGAGTGCATAAGATTTTATTTAATAGGTTATTAAATGAATAAGCTCCCCCTCAAAAAAAAAAAATAGTTATTGGACTGACTGGGCTCGTTTATAGGTTCTATTACTCGAGTAATGTAATTCACTATTTATACATGATGGGCTATAGTTGTGTATTATATGACTTACTTTTCCGCTTCTTCTTTTGCTTTGCGGTCAGCTTCTTCCTTCTCCAATTTCAACTTGTGTTCTTCCTCTTTACGTTTTTTATCTTCTTCTTCGCGTTTTTTCGTCTCTTCGATGGCCAACTGCAACCGCAACTCTTCGGATTTCCGAGCCTCTTCCAGCATTCGCAGTTGTTCTTCTTCTTGCCGGCGTTGTTCTTCTTCTTCACAACGCAAACGTTCTTCTTCTGCCAATCGCTCGGCTTCCTGTCACGCACGAAAGGAAAGAAATCATAGAGTAAATAACACGTCCACGTTTTACTTAATCAATTATTAGCATATAAACGTATTATATGTGCAAGATAACGTTAGTTGGACATACCAATCGTTGTCTTTCTAACTCCGCGTCTCTTTCTGCTTGTTCACGCGCCAGTTTTCTGCGTTCCGCCAACGCGGCCTTGGCTTCTTCTTCCGTCGAGATCTTCTGTTTCGTAGCCAACATCGAAGCGGTCATGTCGCATTCGGCCAGGTCGTTCACCGACCCTTGGATCGAATTTTCACGATGACTGTCTTCGTCTTTGGAAACCACCGTAGTGGTGTGCTGCTGATCAGAAGATTCGACGTTATCAGAAGTTTCAGTAGAATTCTTTGAGTTTTTATTTTTGTCCTGAAAACACGCATAGAATAGATTATCATAAATGTATATATATTATATAATATCATCAAATACAGTAAAATACTACAAAAGTATTTTTATTCATACACATAACATTATAATATACCTTTATAGTAAGTATATTAGACAAATAAATGCATTTTTTTTTTTGGTGGGAGACTAAACAATAGATAAACAATTACTATCATCAATTGCCATTGTCACCGTAATCAATAGTATAAATGTCACTATTTTACCTTCACAGCCGTCGATGACTGCTGTTTTGTATTGTCGTTGGGGAACTTTTTCGTCTCCACCTTAGGGGTAATCGACTTTTTGGTAACATTCACTTTGGGCAATGGCGGTCTTTCGCCAGTGGCCGGAGACTTTGCGGGTGGTGGATCGGATGTGACGCCGGTCACAGCTATACTGATTGGTCGCGGTTTGCGTGGCGTCGCCACGGGCCTGGACCTCGGTTGCGTTGGCAAAGGTCCAGTGCTCGACTGACTCATGGAACTCTGAGGTCGATTCGGCGTCATTTCACCAGATTTCATGCCTAAACAATCAATCAATGTACGGATTAGTTTGTCTCCATGCTCGTGGCTTGTGCGCGCACGTTTTTGTTATATGCGTTTAATAGAAAATTAAATTAAAAAAAAAAAAAAAAAATTAATGAGATGGAAATTAGACAAGAAAATATATAGATTCAACCAGAAAATCATACACGCAGAAAAGTTTACATTTATGTTGTACAAGGTCTTACGACAGTAGAATATTACTACACAATTGTAAATGTTTACATTTAATAACTGTGTAATTATCGTCGTTTTTTTTCTACGATCGTGGGTATTCGTTACAATCGTACTATGTTCTATACGGTCAATATAAAACATTGTTTAATTCAAGGCTTTGCACCCGAATGAACTATTATAGGTGTGAAGAAGCCTTGGTTTAACTACAAAATAGTAAAGTAGCCACTTTATTCTATAAACATTTTGATTACCATACAGGTCGTCAATTATCGTATAGAAACAACAGAAAACTTCAAATGATTTATTAGTATAAAATTGATTTAGAGAAAAAATATTCTGCGTGTATGAATAATTGGCCCCTGCAACCGTCTAATATATTATTATATTATATGATTATATAAAATCGATTGACATTTTAGTGAATTTAAAATTAATGTGTCTGGAAATATAAATATTAGACAAAAGTAGAATACAATAAATTACATTCGGTAAAAATATTAGTTATGGAAACTTGGTGTGGATATGAATCGCCTTGGCCCAAACTCGAGTACCGCCACCTGTTGGATAAAGTGCACTTACTGTTTGATCGGGTTCGGGCGAGACCAATACGCATGCATTGAGGACACAAACATTAAATAAATAATAATTAATAGGTACATGCATTTGATTTTTAAACGTTACCTAGTAAAATATGGGTGTGTGAATAAAGTATGGTACTGACAAAATAAACTAAGCAGACTGAAACTATGTACTTCAAATTAAGACGTCGAGAGTTCCAGTTGTAGGTATATTATTAGACCAATTTTTCAGCGTACCTTTCTCATTATTTCATAACATACTTACGAACGTTCTTATTATATCTGTTGGGTTAGGTTAGGACAGGCTTTAGATAGGTAATGAATTGAAAATTACTAAAAACACTTGAAGTCTTGAACACAAAATATAATCAATAATGTATATAATGTATTGTACCATAAATGTGTAATTGATTAAATAATGAACGCCTATGGTTAATTAAGCGTAAAACGTATTTACGAGTTTAACCTACATTATTATGACTACAATATAGGTAGTTGGATATTTTATATCCAAAACTGAAAACACACATTTTAACGGTTAACTAAAACAACCAAGTAGGTCAATAATAAACTATGTAAAGTACACCATTTGATTTTAAGACAGATTCATGCAATAAACATATATATATTTTTGTACATGCATACAAATATAGCTATAATATAATTAATAGGCAAACCACTAATAAGCACGAAAAGGCAAAAAGCGTTTAATAATTCCAATACTATACTGGCTTTTACAATATATAAGCAAGTAATACTATAGATAGTACCTACATGCGTAAATATGCAATTATATTCAAACTTCCACCTCGGTCTATTCGTTTGTTCGCGCAGGGAAATATTCAGGGCACGATTAATGAAAACAGAATCGTAGGTACAGATATGACACACGACGTGTGTATAGTTATGGATTGTTTAAAAATATGGGGAAATCCCGATTTCAAGATCCTTGTTGTCCGTCAATACACAAGATGGAAACGCGTTTAATTTAAATAAAGAGTATAGGTAAATTAGATATAAAATTATACTTTAGAGTAGACTAAGAAGACGCATATTCGATCGTAAGTTTAGACTAGGCCGTAAGTTTCGCTATGTCGATGTAACGAGCGTAGACACAGTGCGGCGTCTTCCACGTTTAAAATTTATACGATTTCGTATAATATAGACATGCCTTGATTTATTATTATATAATAAACGTTCGGTAATATATTATGTAGTTAAATGTCGAAACAGCGATAGATTCATTTTTTCCCCACACGTTGCAGGTATATATAGGGTAGGTAATACAGTAGTAATAATAATGTAACATGCGATATGGATAGATAGTTAAGTTAGCCGTTAGGTGAGGGTTGTTGGGTGTATTTGTGGGAGTCAATTTAAACATTTTGAACCATAATGTAACAACATAATATATACACGTATAAGCGTATCAATGTATTATACATTAGGTTTTAGTTAGGATGTCCGTATAGCGTTATACACATCTGTTATCTCTGTCGGATAAAAATCGAAATGGCAAAAACAGCTTTTACGATTTATCTTTTTGTACTTAACCAAACGGATAGGTAAACGTATATAGCAAAGTTGCAACCTATGGCAAGATTTCCCATGATATGAATCTAATAGAGGATATTTTTAAATACTTATATTTTTAAGTTGTTTTAACGAGCTATAGGATTTTACAACGCATAATATATACCTATAAAAAAAAACGATAAAAAAAAATCGACAGTCGATCGTTAATTGAAGTTTGAGTGTCCAAAAAATAAGGAATACAGATCATTTCAGAAAGTAGGTATCCACCATGGTACCATTAAAATAAAAAATAAAAATTTACTTTAGTAAACAAATACAATGTTGCCATAAATAGTGCAAGACACAGACTGGTACCTCTATAAAAATAAATAAAATGATTTTTGTGACTATCGACGGAAAAAAATAAACGACAAAAAAAAATGTAAAAACATGGGCATATAGGTTGATTCCTGAATTACGAAAATAGTTCTATGTTGGTTAAGATGAAAATTAAATAAAAATAGTAAATTTCAAAAATACGATCAATCATTTTTTGAATACAATTTCAAAAAATAGAAATTAGTAATCAAATTTTAAATTTTCCTATTTTGTAACAGAAAATACATTTTTAATTAATTTACTCGGCTGTATTAGGTAAGTACTATATTATAGGTATCGGGAGTCAATAAAAATAGGCGAATGTCAGTATCGATTTTGTTAGGCTATAGAGTAACATAGAGATGTTTTAATATTGTAGTTGAAATAAGCTATCAAGTAACAGATTTATTTATACTTTAAAATATAACACTTTCTCGACATATAATTTAACGGGTTGGTTACGAAATGAAAGAGATACAGTGTGCGATGGATATACTGCAGAGACGACAGCAATATTATACGCCACGGTACAACTTGTACTATGTACACCTACTTTATAGGTACTATTGCGTAGTTATACGCATATATATTATATTATATTAGACCTTAGACGTCGGTCGAATATAGATTTGATTTATGGTGATCGTTTTCGACAGGAGAGTTCGGTATGTCGGTAAATCTCTGCGAACGTGTTAGGGGGTCGTCGCCCATATTGTTATAGGTACACACGTTACATAATAATTGATAAGTGACGGATACACTCGGACTATAAAATAGGTCGGAGGGTGGTGTGTGTGGGTTAGGTTACGGTCAAACGATAGTAAAAGAGGATATTGTCGTGTTAACGAGGTGCAGCTTGCGCGACTAATTTCCGTATATCATATTATTATCATGTCGTAAATTATATTATACAACTGGTATAATAATATACGACTGTATCTTGCACGTACCTGCACCACCGCCGTTTGCGAATTCTCTGGCGCGCTTGCGCAGTCGCTCGGCTCTGGTGGGTCTGGGCGGCGGCACCGGGTTCAAGGCGATCATACTACGGTGGTGCGTCGAGCGATCCTTGTTGGCACCTAAAACAACAGATCGCCCGCCGCCGCCGGCCAAGTGGCTCATGCTGCGCGCCGACGACAGCAGTCGTACGCCTCCGCCGCCGAAAGCGGTGGCTGCGGTGCCGTCCAGCCGAGTCATCGAACTCGCCCTACCTGGTGACCGACGGGACGAACTGGACGATCCGGGACGGCTGCAGGGCGTCAGGTCACGCGGGGACACGATGGTGGGCATCAGGTCCGTCTTCCGTCTGGCCGCCCTCCGTTCGGCGCTCCCGTCACCGCCTTCTAAACACACATATGTTACACATGTACAAACGCGCTGCACCGTCACCTCCAGAACAAATCACCAATAGGTAGTCGGCGGGATAATATTATTTATTAATTCTTAATTCAGTGGCGTCGAGAACGGTATATTAATTATACACATAATATATTATATTATTATTATACAGCATTATTATATACACCTTAAGGTCTTAAAGCTATAGCGTTTGATCGTTTGCTGCAGGTGTTGGTATATGGAAAGTTGAAGTTTATACGAAAACCCGAAGATTTAAATCGGAAACGTGTATAGATCGAAGATCATTATTGTATACTTATATAATATTGGTACGGACTTCGGAATTCAAGAGTAGTTTTAACGCCATAACAAAGAAACAACACCAACAAATCATATTATTATATTTGTTTTTCATTTTATGGTTTTGTTAACCAAAGATGGCAATTCAAATTAATTAATTAATTTCGATTCAAAGTAGTATAATGAGAGTTTGAAAGCGCCATGAAAATCAGACGTCCTTTATTACGACTGGTCCCATGCTGAACAATATTATATTTGTTTATAAAATATCCATTTCTATTACGGACTGTAATGAGCGTATGAGCGGTCAGGACGAGCCTTTTCTTTTGAAAATATGTACACAATATTAAATTAACAGGCTACTCAAACCTACGTAGAGTAATGCGAGTTCACAACGCCACTGTTGCATATAATACAATATATAATATGTATATAGTATGTTCACGAGCGCGGCTTCAGGGTGTAGAAAACACGCACGTGCAGTTTACAGAGCTAATTAATTAATTAGTATACAAAACGACGGTAATTTTGTTCTACTTAGTAATAGGTACACGCGCAGATAGGAAGCGGATAAAGTAAATAGGCGTGTACGCGGGGCTAGCCAAAAGCTAATTAAAACATAATAATATAACATAATGTACGCGTTATTTGGTCGGTAGATGGTGGGGGTTTCATTACGATAAGCCACAAATATACAAATACTATAGTTATAAGTACTACTAATCTATATAAGTTTTCTAACTACTGCCACCCAGAACGCGTTTTTTTGCAAACGGTCTGTGTCAATATTACAATATAAAAAAATTAACTTCTTTTCTGAGCACCTAAACCCTGTCAAATATATATTGTTAATTATCTTCTTAAAAGACTTATTCTAAACAAGTAATTATGTACACTGTTAGGTTGAACAATCATCATTTTTTTTTATTTAAACTAGAGTAAGCTCTAAATTACGTAAATCACAATTTCACACCAACTATTTTGACCTATACAACAGACGGAATCAATAGAATAAGATTATTCAATCAGTATTAATATTATACAGCATACGTAAAATCACGCACTAATTCACAACAACATTTTTTATCGGACAAATTGGTTCTCGATCCGACAATTTGCAAGTAGAAATATACATGCATTTGCAATTAATATTATATATTATACATAGATGTTATGCAATCGACACACAATTATATTAGGATATGACACACGTATATAGTATAGGATTTTCGTCCCCAAAAACTCACCACACCCCACATCTACAGGGTATTCTGGGATAACAGGGTAACACATATCACTCCAACGCAAGACATCCATTACGGAATGTCTCTTATTATTGTACTCTGAAAAATCTGACGTTCAAACAATTTCTTTTTCTAAAGTTCATTTTATTTTATTGTACTCGTAAACCAAAAACACTGATCATCTATATGGCTTGAAGGTAATATTATACAGTATATATAAACGAGCTTACCGTCGGTACTGCGGTTCGACAGACCGCCAGCTGAAGCAGCCCTTTTTTTCCCAGAACATTCGTTCAGCTCGCGCTCTGACGACCTCCTTGTCAGAGGGCCCATGGGAGTTGTACTGCTCAGCATCATCACATTGCTGGTAGATGTAGCTCTAAGAAACAATTTGATACAATTTAACATGAACAATAAAACATCAGCAAAATACTAACGCTTAACTGTGTATTTAATGGTATAAGAATCAAATTATTACTTTCAAACTATGGTAGGTACACTTTATTTACCTGCGACTAGCCCAGTACGATCCGCCAGTTTCTGATGGTTCAAGCATGCGAGGCGTCGAACTTCCGAATGCAAAAACAATTGAACTACGCTCATTTCTTCTTTTTGACACAATTCTGGCCTCGCGTTCCTGTAATGAGTATTGAGTAATGATATTACGTTTAAGATAAATAATCGATTAAACACAAACAAGATCAGCTCTTGTTAGCCAGTTTTTTCGTTTTTATAATTACTAGATTTTTTTTTAGTATAGCGTCTCGTTTCTCTCTTTCGGCTTCAAACAATTGTCTTTTTCTTTCTTCCACTTGTTGTCGCCTTTCAGAATCTCGTGAACGCATTTCATCTAAACGTCTCCGTCTTTCCTCCTCTTTTTGTTCTCGATACCTTTGTACAGCCAGTGCCTGAAACGAAAAACAAAATATACGGTTAATATTTATGAACGCACCGATAACGTCCACCGAATAATGGATGCATAAATAACAAACGTATCGGATCATCGATACGAAATTACTTGTTGTTTGAGTTCATCGAGTTTTCTTTGACGTTCTTCGTCGTGTTTTTCACGAACAAGTCGTAATCGTTCTTCGCGGTCTTTGATTGCATTTTCTTTTCCTTAAGACAAAAGCAATAATCCAATTTTAATACATTGTTTTACTACAACAGTTATCTAACCCATAATAACTGCAATCACCCATTCAAATGGCATTGAGAAGCACGTGTGAGCAGTATAAATAGTAATGCTCACATTATTTAAGATCAAGACACAAAATTCACAAACACACGATATTATTATTACGATAAAACAAAGGGAAAATATTAGTTTCGTAGCTTGCTATATTTATATCCTCGATGTAAAAATAAACACCCAGCATAAAATAATAAATTCAAAGACTAAACAAAATTGTAAGCGTAAAAAAAAAACATGGAATATGAATGAAAAATGTACACCCTCCGATTGCGTATAGCCTCGATAGTCAATATACCCATAACAAAATATATATTTTCAATTTGTGTTTAAATTTAAAAAGCATATTTTATGTTGTTTTTTTTTTTTGTAGTAACTAACCAAACAATTTTGCGATTACTCTGAACATAAATATTAAATATACAATAATGATTTAGCAGTTTATACATTACGCATTATACAACTGAATTTAAACTTTTAAGTATTATAATGAAATATAATACTAATTATTTTAAGTTCGAACCCAATATAAAACTATGCTGCGTTTAAAATACCAAACAATTGTTAGTATAACACGATAATACAATAATGGACAAACAGACGATAATTTATCTAATATTATATTGTGTTAGTTTTTATCCTATAAGACATGTATTAGACAAGAGCAAAACATTTATGTAAACCTGTTTCGTCTGTTTCATCATAAAAGTCAAATGATTCTGCACCATGGGCAAACCAATGAAGTCCGCCTGCTGATCGAATAGAAAAAAAAAATAATCGCATTTATATTTTAAGAATATTATATAATATTTTAAAAAGCTATAAGATATATTTTTATTCCAGTGGTTTATCGTTTGTGAAATATTAAAATATACGTAAATATACTTATACATATATATAAAATAATAAATAATATTAGTGTACCTATTTTATAATATTTGATGAGTGAAGACCTAGTACAGTTTCCTAATATAATTTTCGTCATATTGTTAATTATATTAAAGAAATTAATAGTATATATTATAATATACTATTATGATATAATTTCAGAAATAATTTGAAATATTACACTTTATAAATACAACTACATCATTGATAGTCAAAGTTTAAGTTTGTTTTCTACAGAATAACATTTTCTAGATCTAAATTGAATAATAATATTTTTTTATTGGACGCGGTTTAATAATTATAATATATACTCCTGAGGTAGTGAGGTATAACAATACTATTTTAAAATGTTATAAAATATTATAAAACATATATGATATATATTATCAAAACTATTAAATGCTAACCTCTAGAAGAATGTTGAGGTGGTGTTGGTGCCGTACTTGGCCGGTTGTCAGAGTTAACAGTGGTCACTCCTGCTAAAAAACAAAAAAATAATAGTACAAATTATATAATTGTATAATATAATATTATAATGTTACAAGCATTAATGCATGACACATTATTAAGATAAATGAGGATTATTCGTAGGTCAGAAGTGTACTATCATAATGGCGGCATTAAATATTCGGCCGATCCCGTTTACTGCTGCAGTGCAGTTGAATTTAATACAACAATAATATTATATCCTAAACGTACCTATTGTGTTATTCAACGAGTCGAGTGGGTATACGAAATTCGTGCCCACTCACGTAAGACTCATCATAAATTACATTCGTACATAATATGCGGAGCAAGCAATATAATAACTCGCACGAATCGTCATCTAGCCCAGAATACAGAGAGAGGTAGAGAGATAGATTCTCCTTTAATTCGACGATTCGAATGTGATCGTGATGTGTAAACATCGCGGTCGAGCCGTTGTAGTGCAGTGTATATTAGCCAGAGCGGTATACAACTATAATAATATGTAAGCCACCGCACTCTATAAGCATAATATAAACATATAAAAAAAATTACGTTTTTCTTATGTGTATATTCTATTCGACATTGCCTCGCTTATTTCGTGCCACCGTAAATGGAGTTTATGAAAAAAAAAACATTTTTTCAAAAATGACATCATGGCGGTCGCGACCTTCACGAACGAATACAGACGGTCGGTGACCACTCCTAAAAAGAAAACGTTATGCGGACTGCACAGTGGACACACGCTGCAATATGATTGCGAGGCGCAAAGAGAACGGTCGCGCACGTTGTTTCTATTCTTAAACCGGACAACAACATAATAATTTTCGGCTTTCGGCCTGTTTTTTTTACGTTTACCGAGAACTAATAATATTACAACAGCGGCGAAGGCGTTAAGACAGACTGCACATACGTTGTCCGTAAAATATGACAAAGATAAAATATTACATTCTGTTCACATACTGCAGTATATTTTATAGGCTCAACGTTTTGAGGCTGGGACGACCAGGAACGCAACCCAATAAATACACTCTAGCTATACATCTTTCTACTAAAGTACTTACGTCATGTAGTAAGTATAAGCAACAAGCGCTTACATACATCAACAAGCGAGCATTTAACACGACGAGATAAAAATTCCCATTATTGCGGTATAAGGTATAGGTTACGTGACGTGTTTAACACGAGAAAGCTTCTGTACATTCTGCAGAGTTCGAGTGGACTTAATCATGAAATCACTCTGCCGGATATATAATATATAATATGACGCAAATAATCGATTATGTAGATCTCGCGACGTGCAGCGATCTTCTCTTCTCGATCGCCCCCGCGTACCACATCATGTTTGTAACATGTCTTCCGTTACAGCGAAATCCCGAGTCAATCGGGGCCACGAGATAACTATATACTCACCGCATTTGGTATACATATACGGTGAAACTTTACCAACAGATTGTTGTCGTCACAGTCGTCGTCGTCGTTGTGCTACAATCGAACGTAATAATATTATGATCATTGATCCACGATAAACGATCGGAAATGTGTTTGCGCTTGTATGGTGCGGGAAAAGAACATATAATAATAATGTACGACGACCGGCGACTTGAACCGGGTAGACGGGGCGTGGTGGTAGGAAGAATTCAAGAATTAAACTCACGATGACTCATCGCGAAAGTTTAATAGCATACACTCGTATCCACCATAGGGGCGTCGATGCGATGTTAAATAATCGTTGTCTAACAACGATGGTTAATAATATTAAGGACCCGATGTCCTAAATCAAAAAACCTGTGGAAATTGTCATTTACAAGTTACGACGCACTACCTCACGTTTATCTCAATATTCCAACTTTCCACATTCGTTAAGTCAAAAACAAGATTTTTAATCCAACGGGCACTCTTGATATTAATTACCTAACGCTAAATTTAAAGGGTTAACTGCCAACCGTTAGAACAATACCTGTATATAATACTACAGCATGTCTAAGCTTATGCGATTAAGTAGGTAAGTAAGAGCAGTCAGTACAAGTCCCAAGTCTAGCTAAAAACATAATCTTTTTATACGTAGGTGTATTTAATTATATAAAGACCAACGGCTGCAGTGTACCGGCGGTGGCGCGGGCAGTTGGCGAGTCAAACGTGACGTGCAGATGTGGACGACGTCGAGGAGGTGGCGGCGGCGACGAGGACGATGTCCGGCCAGGAGCGTGGCGAGCTCGCGGAACGGGCGCGGCGGCAGCGCCGATCCGGTGGCCGTTGCCGCCCGACGTCTGTAGAGACGACACCAATATGCCCCGGAGGGCGAATAACGCAGATTCCGGTATTTTTCGGGGCGGGGGTGACGGCGGACGATGTAAAGCATCGTTAGCGTCGAAACATCGGAGCAGCGGTTCAGCGGGACGTTCCATGGCCGTCGGGGACGACAAACTGCTGTGCACAATACAATATACGCGCGTTATAAGCCGCAAACGATATAATTACAGCGATATAATATTTCGTACTTCAACGACGACGACGACGACGACTAACTAACGGGCGACGACGACGTAAACGAGGCTGCGACTGACATACATAATAATGTTATAAGACAACACACATACATAGTTTATTGTATAAACGTATCTCGTGATGGGAGCGGAGAGACTACGTCGGCGGTAGGTCGGTCGGTCGGTCGGTCGGCCGTTCGTCCGTCTAGATCCGCTCACGTATATAATATTATACGTCTTAAGCCGTGCGCAACAACCGCGGACGGAGGTGGCCCGTGAAAAAAATTAATATTAATATTAATATAAGTGCATGCGTGTGTGTGTCGGTTTATGCGCGAAAACTGGTCGGAGCAATAAGAAATAGGTAGTAACAATCGTCTAATTATAATCATTATTCGTCGGCGTACACGCGTATATTATTTTATGGCTATGACTGCTATACGAGTATATAATATGGGCGAGCGGTATTCGCCTTAAATATTATTATTGTGTGGTATTGGGGTTTTCAGTTTTTGACTAATTAACGAGAAGGTAGCGCTCGTGCCACCGTTGACTACTTACTATGATGTATTATAATAATATGCGCGTAAGCACATTGACGGTATAATACGGTTATCACCGCTGCAAACGAGTCAGCGGATGAGGAATAATTGCAGAGATAGCTAAAGGTACATTATAATTTATAATTATTAATTCCTGTATTATTAGAAGTTCAACTAAGGAATTTTTTTGTTTCGTCTTTAAGGGCTATAAAATAGTATGAACTATGGATACATGCTATTTATAGTTGAAAAAAGTAATATCATAATGCTTATAAACGACCACGATAGAAAAATCTTCTAAAGGGATATACATTTTCGAGATAGCTATCGGTCGAATCCTGTATATAGATAAATAACAGGTACACATTTTTATCTATACACAATATCACAAGTCATTCTCGGTCGTATATAATTTTCTTTTAGATTCTGAGCGGAGCGATGAATGTATTGGTTTTACAATGATGTATGTTTTTATATTTTTATATTTTTATATTTTTGTGTCTGTCATCACGTTTTGGGACAGTAAAAGTGCTTCGATTTTCTTCAATAGTACCTTTTCTGATAGGAAAGTGAATCTAGTTGGTACTTTGGGGGGTCAAAAGTAAATATTTTCCAGTAGTTTTCACAAGCGCCGGGAAAAACAACATAAAAATTAAGGAAAAACGGGAATTTTTACGCAAAATCGATTTTCCAAAAATTCGAATTTGGTTTTTGGTGTAACTTTAAAACAAATGACCGTAGATACATGAAATTTTCACTGGTTGTTTATATTTGCATTTTCTATACACGATAACATTTTCAAAATATTTTGATTTATTTTGAACTGTTTAGGGACATTTTCATTTTTCATTTTTTTTTAGTTTTTTTTCTAGAAATATCAATAAAATTTTATTTGTTGGTTGCGAAAGCTTGAAAATTTAATAGAAGGCTCCTAATATGTTGTTTCAAAGGCAGATGAAAAATATTAAAAATCCTTAGTCACAATTTTTTTTTATAAGCATTTAAAGTTCAAAAATTGACAAAATATGGAAAAATCACGAAAATTAGCAAATTATTTTGAGTTAAGAATTCGTAAAAATTTTTCTTTTTAAATCTAAGATTTGAAAATGTAATATAAGATTACTCATAAGTTTGTCTACCTTTATCAATAAAAAAATCTCTACCGGAATGTCAAATTAAATTTTTATGAGCGTTTGAAATTCAAATTTTTACAACATTGGATGTTCACTCGATTTCTCATGTAGCGATTTCCTTATTTTGTTGTAATTCAAAAACGAATAACTGTAGATACATGAAAATTTCACTGAATGTTTATATTATCATTTCCTATACACCATACAATTTTGAAAATATTTTGACTCTTTTTGAGCTGTTTATGGACATTTACAGCTTTCAATTTTTTTTAGTTTTTTTTTCTATAAATATCAATAAAGTTTTATCTGTTGGGCCAAAAAGTGTAAAAATTTAATACAAGGCTCCTGATATATTGTTACAATATCAGTTGAAAAATATTAAAAATACATATTCACGATTTTTTTTTATAAGCATTTAAAGTTGGAATTTTGACAAAATTTATCAAAATCTCGAAAATTATCAATCGTTGGAATTAAAAAATTATAAAATGTTCAGTTTTTATAACTAAGAGTTGAAAATTTAAAACAAAGATTCTCTTAAATAATTCATACTGTAACCAAAAAATCTAAAAAATATATAAACACACTTATTTTTTACAGACATTTTAATTTCAAATTTAGACAAAATTTCATATTTAAACCAAGAATTACGATTTTAGTTATTTTGTTGTGATTGAATAATACTATTCGTGGGTACTTGAAACTTCTAAAGTGTACTATTATATATCTATGATAGTATCACGGTTTTTGTTGATGTATAACGCGTTATAAGTATCTAATGGATATTGTGATATGATTAATTTGGAATTTATTATAGGTACCTATTATAGGTCAATTTTTTGTTTAATACCATAGATATGTATATAATATGCCTTATACATAGACTGACATACCATCACCGCTCAGAATCGTTTTTCTTATACAATGATATTATATCATTGAATTCAAATTTAATACCATCCATTATACAGTGACCCACTTGTAACCTACTGTACAGCAGAGCGACACCCACTTGCCCACCTTTTTTTTATTTACTTTGAGAAAAATTTTTTCACTTATCAAATAGTGCAATACTAACATATTGTAATAAAAAAAAGGTGGGCAAGTGGGTGTCGCTCTGCTGTACAGTAGGTTACAAGTGGGTCACTGTATAATGGATGATATTAAATTATTTGAATTCAACGATATAATATCATTGTATAAGAAAAACGATTCTGAGCAGAGACGGTATGTCAGTCTATGTATAAGACATATTATATACATATCTATGGTATTAAACAAAAAATTGACCTATAATAGGTACCTATAATAAATTCCAAATTAATCATATCACAATATCCATTAGATACTTATAACGCGTTATACATCAACAAAAACCGTGATACTATCATAGATATATAATAGTACACTTTAGAAGTTTCAAGTACCCACGAATAGTATTCAATCACAACAAAATAACTAAAATCGTAATTCTTGGTTTAAATATGAAATTTTGTCTAAATTTGAAATTAAAATGTCTGTAAAAAATAAGTGTGTTTATATATTTTTTAGATTTTTTGGTTACAGTATGAATTATTTAAGAGAATCTTTGTTTTAAATTTTCAACTCTTAGTTATAAAAACTGAACATTTTATAATTTTTTAATTCCAACGATTGATAATTTTCGAGATTTTGATAAATTTTGTCAAAATTCCAACTTTAAATGCTTATAAAAAAAAATCGTGCCTATGTATTTTTAATATTTTTCAACTGATATTGTAACAATATATCAGGAGCCTTGTATTAAATTTTTACACTTTTTGGCCCAACAGATAAAACTTTATTGATATTTATAGAAAAAAAAACTAAAAAAATTGAAAGCTGTAAATGTCCATAAACAGCTCAAAAAGAGTCAAAATATTTTCAAAATTGTATGGTGTATAGAAAATGCTAATCTAAACATTCAGTGAAATTTTCATGTATCTACAGTTGTTCGTTTTTGAATTGCAACAAAATAAAGAAATCGCTACATGAGTAATCGAGTGAATATCCAATGTTGTAAAAATTTGAATTTCAAACGCTCATAAAAATTTAACTTGACTGTCCGGTAGAGATTTTTTTATTGATAAAGGTAGATAATCTTATAAGGAATCTTGTGTTTCATTTTCAAATCTTAGATTTAAAAAGAAAAATTTTTACGAATTCTTAACTCAAAATAATTTGCTAATTTTCGTGATTTTTCCATATTTTGTCAATTTTTGAACTTTAAATGCTTATAAAAAAAAATTGTGACTAAGGATTTTTAATATTTTTCATCTGCCTTTGAAACAACATATTAGGAGCCTTCTATTAAATTTTCAAGCTTTCGCAACCAACAAATAAAATTTTATTGATATTTTAAGAAAAAAAACTAAAAAAAAATGGAAAATGAAAATGTCCCTAAACAGTTCAAAATAAATCAAAATATTTTGAAAATGTTATCGTGTATAGAAAATGCAAATATTAACAACCAGTGAAATTTTCATGTATATACGTTCATTTGTTTTAGAGTTACACCAATAACCAAAATCGATTTTTTGGAAAACCAATTTTGCGTAAAAATTCCCGTTTTTCCTTAATTTTTGTGTTGTTTTTCCCGGCGCTTGTGAAAACTACTGCGAAATTTATACTTTTGACCCCCCAAAGTACCAACTAGATTCACTTTCCTATCAGAAAACCTACTGATGAAGAAAATCCAAGCACTTTTACTGTCCTAAAACGTGATGACAGACACAAAAATATAAATAAAAATATATATAAAAAGGTGGGCAAGTGGGTGTCGCTCTGCTGTACAGTAGGTTACAAGTGGGTCACTGTATAATGGATGATATTAAATTTGAATTCAACGATATAATATCATTGTATAAGAAAAACGATTCTGAGCGGAGACGGTATGTCAGTCTATGTTTAAGACATATTATATACATATCTATGGTATTAAACAAAAAATTGACCTATAATAGGTACCTATAATAAATTCCAAATCAATCATATCACAATGTCCATTAGGTACTTATAACGCGTTATACATCAACAAAACCGTGATACTATCATAGATATATAATAGTACACTTTAGAAGTTTCAAGTACCCACGAATAATATTATTCAATAACAACAAAATAACTAAAATAGTTATTCTAGGTTTTTTAATATGTAATTTCGTCCAAATTTGAATTTAAAATGTCTGTAAAAAATAACTGTGTTCATATATTTTTTAGATTTTTTGGT